CACACACACACACACACACACACACACACACACACACACACACACACCCCCTACCCTTTCCCAACTGACTTTTTTCTCTCCCAAGGGCAAGGAAGAGCTGGAGGTGGAGTTTCGGCTACAAAGTCTGTGAGTCTGGGGCTGTCTGGAGCCACTGACCTGCTGGGACTTCCTGGGAAGGCCCTGTGGGATACCTAGCTGACTAGTTCTGTCACTAGATAGAGCCCCCCCCCCCAGAGCTGACATACACTATATGAGATTTTTCTATGGAGAGGGGACATTGATTGTTGGGAATGAGAGCATGGAGTCTCAGTAGGGGAACCCTTATGGGGCTATTTCTTAAATCATAGAAATTGGAGCTGGAAGAGATCTTAGAGATTTAAGAGGGAATTAAGTGACTTGGCCAGGGTGCTGCATTGAAAGCCAGGTTTAGAAATCAGATCTTTTATTCCTTTCAGGCCAGCATGCCCTGAACAGCTCATCACCAATGGTGTCCTTGTGGTAAGTCTGTCTGTCCAAGTACATTGAGTTGAGACCCCTAAGGACTCTTTTCCCTTCCTCCTCCCTGTCACCTCCTCCCCACCACCCCTTGCCCAAGGTCGCCTCTGAGAGAGGACCCAGAGGCAGCATAACATAGTGGAAGCAGAGCTGGCCTTGGGGCCAGGGAGACCCGGGCTTGAATCCTGCCTCTGACACACGCTGATTCTGTGACCCTGGGCAAGTTACTTAACTTTTCAATGCTCCAGACAACTCCCCAAGTTGTCTCTAAGTCTCTAAGACTATAAGTTGCAGAGAAGATGCCAACTTCCATTGGTAGAATGAGGCTTCTCATCTAGGACATCCCTCTATCATTGAAATCATAGGTCCAAGTCCCTATTTGTGGTGTGGGAAGGGACGAGAGGGGATGGGATAGGATGAGATGGGATAAGATGGGATGAGATGGGATGGGTTAGGATAGAGAGGTGCACCAGGCCTCCTAGTTTGGCATTTAGTTTTTGGCTTACTAAAAGGAAGAACAGAAGGAGAAGATGTAGTCCCAAAGCCACAGGTATTCACATATGCTGGGTCCAGGGATGTCACAGATGGTTCAAAGCCCCTGCTACCCTCCCTGGTCTTGGCTCAAAACCTACATCCATCCAGGACCTGGTTACCTAGTTACCTATGGGCAAGGATAGCACAGTAATAGGGATCAGGAATGGGAATGGGCTGGTTGAGAATGAAGCATGTAAGGATTAGGAATTCATATCTGAGCTATTCTATTTCTAACTCAGGCCCGAGAGCTTTCCACTTTGGATGTTCAGCTAGAAAATATGGGGAACATACAAGATAACTCAGGTAAGCCTCCTTTATTTACCCTAGGGATACAGCCCCTGCTTCCATTAACCCTTACTCTCAACCCTTGTGAGTCAGCATCTCTAGGAGGGAACCCAGATTGCATGGTGCCATGGAAAGAAACCTGGGTTCAAATCCTGACTCTGCCACATAATGCAAATCACTTAATCTCTCTGGACCTCAGTTTCCTCACTTGAAAAATGGGGAGATTGGATTCTAATCATAGAATCCATTTGTGACCTTTAAGGTCTCTTTCAACTCTAAATCTCTGATCCTAGGAAGAGTCAGGCTTGCAGCCTCTGGCTCCCAGAGTCATCCAGATTGTTGTAGCCTGTATCTCCCCTTCTCCGTTGAGAACAGAGGGGCTGGGGCTGGGGAATGTGGTCACCCATCCACTGCAAAGGCCTCATCTTCATTCTGGTGGATAGCCCTTCATTCTTGGCTCTGTTGGCAGCAGGCTGACCAAGACCATTGTGAACAGGGCTTTCCCAGGGCACCCCCTGAGCCCCTGCCATTAGGGAGAGGGAGGATTGAAATCATCTCACCCATCCCCCCAGTCTTCCTTGTGTTTTCCGTGTTCCAGAGTCAAACGGTGGAGTCGAAGCCCTAGTGTTGGGGTCCTATGAAGGCAGCCAGACTGTCACCCCAGGCACCAGCCCCATCCACTTCCACTCTCCAACTTGCTGGGAGTCAGAGCTAAGTGTTAAGCTCCAGGTAATGTTCTCAGCCTCCCAGGAGGACAGGAATGTGTGTGTGTGTGTGTGTGTGTGTGTGTGTGTGTGTATTTATGTATAAATATCTATTAAGAGCTTACTATGTGCAGAGCACTATGTTAAGCATCAGGGGTATAAATAAAAAATCAAGAGTGTCCCTGCTGTTAAAAAGCACACAATCTAAAAGGGGAGTTAGATGACATCTACAGGAGGTTTCAGCCTCAAGTAAACAGCTGGAAAGGCCCAGTGCTCCTCAGGCAGAGCAGCAAAGGAGACGGTAATAGTCTTTAGTGTCATTTCCGCTGGTGAAACCACGAGGGCTTCTGATGCTGAACCATTTTATGGTACAAAGGACTTTGGTGGTGGGAATGTTCCTTTGGAGGTTTTCCATAGCTAAGGCTGCAGAGGAGGTGGGGGGCTGCAGTACCTGTAGACATCTCTCCGTAAGATGACCTGTCTCCACCCCAGTCCTCCTACCAGTTCTTTCTTCCTCTTCTCTAGCCTGCTTCCCCCTCCATCATAGAGAATGAGAGGATCATCCGTTCTTGGTGGCTCTATGACTCCCCTGATCCTTCCTGCTCATGTTTCTACTGTGTTCCCATCCCATCCCCCATTAGGCTGGAATGAGGTTGAGTGAGTCGGGGTTGAGGTGATAGTTTGTCCCTTCATGTAGTTCATCTTTACTTCCCTCAGGGAGCTTCTCAGGAGGTGCTGAAGGTGCCGCTGAAGTCCCTACCTTATGGTCACATGGTGAGGGTCTCCTTACCCACAACAGAGGTAGGAGCCCCAGTACTGTTTTGTCACTTGTGAGTGACAAAAGACAATCTGCTCGGGCCCCGGAAGGTCTAGCCACCTTTATTTTTTGCTTTGTAAAGTTTTAATTATGCCTTTGGCTTTTTACTCCATGGTTTTGCCCTGATACATCTCTCTGCATTTCCCGCTTCCCCTCTACCTGCCTCCACTGAACTCTCTCTTGTAACTAAGAGAAACAGTTAAGCAAAACAGATCAACAAAGCCACCACATCTGACAGTGTATGCAACATTCCATACCCATCCTTTCTCCCTTCCCATTTGTGGCCCCCTCCTTCCCAGGGAAGAGCATTTTATCAGCTCTGCCCTAAGACGGTTCTTTTCCTATAATCTGAGCTCAGCTTGTTTTTAGTGTTGTTATCCTACTTAATGTGTGTCTTGTTCTCCTGCCTCTGCTTTCTTCACCCCGAATCAGTTCATTCAAGCCTTCCCATGTTTCGTGGCACCATAATTCTGTTGAGTTCATTATACCAGTCTGTTCAGCCATTCTCAGTTTATGGGCACCTACTTTGTTTTCTGGCTGTCTTTATGTGTTCTTTCTTTTCCACCAGACAGTACTCTTAAAGTAGATCTCTAGGGCCCTCGTTTTGTTGGAGGAAGGTCCTCTAAACAGCCTGATCTTCAGCCCCCAGGCCATGGCCATCCCTGAAGGTGGTGTGCTGGGGTTTGGGGAAGTCAGGGCATAAGGCTCTGTGACTGCGTTTCAGGGCTGCCAGAAAAAGGGAGGCAGGGATGGGAAGGGTGGAGCTTGGGTTTGATCTACAGTATGTGATGTGAGTATTTTTTTCAGGAACCTGCATTGATGATGCAGCTGAAAACCAAGAAAGAGTGAGTGGTTGATTGCCTGTGGCAAGAGGAAATGGAGATAAAGGGAAGCAGAGCTTGGGGAGGAAGAGAGGAATCCTTGGGCAATAGAGAGTCATTAAGGTGGGAGGAGCGTGGTTGGATGGGGCAGGCTGCCGCAGCCCAAATTAGTGTCTAGCCAGCTCTCAGAGCTATTGAAGAGTATGAATCGTTCTGTCCACAGGATGTGGAAGGACTCTAACCGGCCTGTGGTAGTTAAAGTTTCTTGTCTTCTATTTCTCTGAGTTCTAGCAGGAGTTGGAAGAGGGATGCAAAGAAGACGGATGAGTAGGTGTAGAGGAAGGTCCAGGATAGAGCCTAAATTCCTATTAGGGTATCTGAAGCATGCACAGATGGAAGACACTGAGGCACAGAGGAGGGAGGAAACAGCCTCCTGGTTTCTTCCCTCCATCATTTAGCATATACTGAGGACCTCCCAGCCACCAGGTCCTTTACTGTGCACAGAGTTCAGTTAGGAAGGCCCGCCTTCTGCTATCTAGACACCTGCAGTCAGCAAGCACAAAGAGGCACGGTCCAAAAAATCCCACATCACATTTATTGAAAGCCCAGGTTCCTGAGCTCAACTGTCTGATCCTTAAGCTGATATCCTTGGTTATTGACCAATAGTCATCGCCACATCTGACTCTTTACAACTCACGAGCATTTCAGATGGTACCTCTGAGGTACCTCAGAGAGGTAGGGGACCCCAGATTTAAAGAGAAATATTTGGCCCTTCTCTCTTTTCTTGGTTCAGCGCACAATAGGGTCAGAAGGGAGGGCGAAAGGGGTGAGTTACCTCCTTGTATGTTTATGACTGAGGATGCTGAAGTCAGCCTTGGTGGGGAGAGTTAGGAGGGAGAAGGGGCAGTGTTTTCCCAGCCCTGCAAGGTGCCGTTTGTTATGGAGTGTGGGTCTGTATCTACAGAGATGACTTTACAGTCTCCAGCAGGGGAGGTGAGGAAGGAAGAAGGGAGTCAGAAAATAGAGTAGGTCCGGGGGTGGGGGGTATCAGTTTGCTTCTCTCAAAGGTGTGTGAGGTTGCCTGAGGAAGGGACTTAGAGAGCCCCCACTGACACTGCCCACTTGGACTGACATGCTGCCTTCCAATCCCTGCCTGTTGTAGCCCTGAGAAGCTGGCAGTGCGCCTGGACTTTGGGCTGTGTGAAGAGGAGCAGATATTCCTGAGGAAGAGGAAGCAGGTGGTGGCCAAAGCCCTGAAACAAGTCCTGCAATTAAAGGATGAGCTGCAGGAGGATGAGGTTTGAGGGCTGGGCCTGCATGGAGGTGGGGGTGGGGCCCTACCTGGCCATGTGAGCCAGGGCTGATGCACCAGGGCTGAATGTTAGAACCTGACCAAGCCCACATCCTCCCTGCACTCGAGGCCAGTGAACTGCAGGGGGAGAGCTGCAGCCAAATTAGGTGCATCCTTGCCAGTTGGGCCTGCTTCCCAGCTCTCTGTCTGACTCGTCCTATCCCCACCCCTCCTTGTCAAGTGCCTGATGAGCACACGGCTTTGTCTTAGGCACCTGAGAGATTTTTCAGAGGTTGTGATTTGGGAGAGAGGCAGGATGGCCTAATGAGGAGAGGGCCAGTCTTGGAGTCAAGACCCAGGTTCAAGTCCTTCCTCTGACTTACACTAGCTGTGTGACTTTGAGCAGGTCACTACCTTCTCACTGTCCCAGGCAGCTCTCTAAAGTCTAGCAGCTGATCTACGTGAATGAATGAATGAATGAATGAATGAATGAATGAATGAATGAATGAATGAATGAAAAAGCATTTGTTAAGCATTTCCTATAGCCACTAGGTTTACAAATAGGAAAATGTGAGACTGACCCTGCTCCCCTGCGGGAAAGGTGTTCACACTGTAATTGGGGAAGATGACACATACAACAGAGTTTAGCAAGAGGCTCTGAGTTCGATGGAACTGGGCAGATGCTAATAGATCCATCAGCAGGTCAGATGTTAGTGCCCTGGGGATGTGAGGACACCGCAGCAGGACAGATGGTAAGGTCTAGGCGCAGTGGCAAGAAGGCAACGTGTCTAGCAAGGCCAGATAGTGCTCCATTTTCCTGAAGCTTACATCTTATTCCCAGCTCATCTGTGTAGTATGAGCAGACATGCCACTTTTCCCACTCACCCAGCTGGGGTGTAGGAGACCCAGAAGTAGATGAAAGGAAGGGATAGGGGGGGCCCTGTCTGGTAGCTCATCCCTCAGCAGAGGAAATTCCCACACTGGGATTCCCTACAATGATGAAATCATAGGTTTCCCCCCCACTCCCAATGGGAAGCCGCAGTATACATAGCTTTCCTGCCAATTTCAACTCCCAGTTTTATATCCCTCTGTCTTATCTGACGCCTCTCTATAAGATTCCATTTTGGAATTCCTGGTAGAGCAGCTAAGTAGTTGTTCTACTGCTTTGAGGACAATCCATTTTAGAAATGAATCCCAGAGCCACCTGAGGGTGCAGATCTTTTTCCATAGGGAGTTGTCCCTGGAAATTTGGACTAATTCTGGGTCATCTCCTAAGGGGGATAAAACCAGTTCCAGCTCTTACCTTTCACACAAAGGCTGAGAGTGGACCAGCAGGTGACTCTGGGGATTCTAGACTGTAGAAGACTACCCCCTTTAAGTGGGGCAAGGGTGAGAGGAGGTAAAGGAGGACATCATCGTGGTCTGGTCTTTGTGGAGTTCTTAGGAATAGGGAAGTTTTGTGGCTGGTCTAAACCCTTTGGAGTTCCTGCTGACCTCAGCATCCTCCCAGTTCTCTCCTGGAAGGACCAAATCAGATGGGAACCTGGAGGGTTGTATTGGAACTTGTGTGGAAAATCATTGGCTAAGGAGTCAGAGGATCTGAGTTCAAATCTCACCTCTGATTACTACCTTGGATACTCTAAGCAAGATGTGTTACCTCCCCAGGCCTTAGTTTCCTTATCTGGAAAAAGAGGGGATAGGACTAGATAACTTCTGAGGTTCTTTCCAGTTCTCGTCCCATCAACCCTAGCTCCATAGTGAAATGCAGGGCTCTTTGAGCGGCTGGACTCTGTGCCCAGTGCTCAGCCTTTTGTCTGCTGCCCTGGGGATAATTCAGAATCTGCTCCTCAGAGGCCTCACTAGGCCTACTTCCATTCTCAGATTCCAGTGGTGGCCATCATGGCCACAGGCGGCGGGATCCGGGCAATGACTTCCTTGTACGGGCAGCTCTCAGGCCTGAAGGAGCTGGGGCTTTTGGATTGTGTCTCCTACATCACAGGAGCCTCCGGTTCCACATGGTGAGCCAAAGGGTTGGGCTGGGTGGAATTAGCCTGGGTGGCACCTGGGAGGGTTGGGGCAGGGTTGGGCAAGGCAAGACCTGTGGGCTTTATCTTTCTGGTTTACCTCAACACCCTCCAGGAATATAGCTTCCTGCCCAGGCTGGGGGAACTGAGAACATGCACATTATAGGGAGAGGATGTTGCAGGGAGTTTGCTACCTCATGAGAAAGCACATCACCTTTGGGAAATTCTCAGATCTCTTTGACCCTACAAGATTGTTCTAATACCTCTAGTCCTCTGCTAGATCTGGTTAAAAGGGGAGGTACGGGGTTTTCTAGCCAGGAAAGTTTGCTTCATTCATTCAAATGTAAGCTTCTTGAGGGCAGGTACTGGCATTCTTATATTTGTATCCTCAGTGTTTAACACAAGTCTGGCACAGAGTAATAGAAAAGAAGAAAGGAAACAAATGTTTATTAAGTGCCTACTATGTGCCAGGCACTGTGTAAAGTGCTTTACAAAATATCTTATTTGATCCTGACACCAACCCTGGGAGGTAGGTGCTATTATTATTCCTATTTTACAGTTGAGGAAACTGAGACAGACAGAGCTTAAGTGACTTGCCCAGGGATCACACAACTAGTAAGTGTCTGAGGTCAAATTTGAGCTCAGGGCCTCTTGACTCCAGGCCTAGTGCTCTATCCATTTCACCACCCAACTGCCTCTGTTCTTTTCTTTCTTTTCTTCTTTTTCTTGCTTTCCTTCTTTCCTTCCTTCCTTCCTTTCACTAGATATTATTATCAACAAAAATTTGAGAGCTTAATAAATGTTTTTTATTCATTCATTCATTCAACAATGAGTATTATTCAATACCTACCAAGTCCTAGATACTATGGTAGGTGCAGAGGATCCAAAGACCAAAACGAAGCAATTCCTGCCCTCCAAGTGTCTACGCTCTACCATTCTTTTTCCTTGGAGGAGGAATTAGCCAGGGAAGGGTCCAGTTATTTGTTTTCTCCGGTGGGCATGAGGTTTGTATGTAGTCCTGAGATGACACCCTCCCACTTCCCCCGTGCCTCTATCTTTTCACAGGGCCATGGCCAATCTATATGAGGATCCAGACTGGTCACAGAAGGACTTGGCAGGGCCTACGGCAGCAGTGAGGGCGCGAGTGACCAAGAGCAAACTGAGCATACTGGCCCCTTCCCGGCTACAGAAGTATCGGCAGGAATTAAAGGAGAGGGCCCAGCAGGGCTATCCTGCCTGCTTTACTGACCTATGGTCCCTGCTTAACGAGGCTTTGCTACATGATGAGGTGGGAAGGGGGATGGGGCAACGAGGGTTGCCCATGGCTCAGGGTGGGGAAGGGTACCGTGGAGAATGAGCCAAACCCTTAGTCACCAGGGGGATAGGGATTTATGGGATGGAGAGGTGAGAAAGATGATAAGTACTCTGGGTAATTAGAAGGACATGGAATTCAGACCCCAGTAATCTTTCCGTCCAGCCCCACGACTACAAGCTGTCAGACCAGCAGGAGGCCCTGGAGCATGGCCAGAACCCACTGCCCATCTACTGTGCCCTCAACACCAAGGCGAAGAGCCTGAGTACCTTTGAGTTCGGAGGTAGGTGGAAGCGAGACAGCAGGGTCTGTCAGACGGGGGGTAGGGTGGAGAGGTCCAAAGGAAAGAAAGAAAAAGACTTTCTCTCCAAGTCTACCCTCTGCCACCCATTTGCTACTGACAGTTTTGTACTCCAGGCTTAAGTGCCAGCCCCGTGACTGAGTGGCTTGGCCCTGGAGCAGGGCCTGTCTTTTCTGTGGGAGAGGTCCTATGGCTCCCTGCTCTCATCCCTCACCAACAAGACTACAATTCTCACTCAGGCAGTCCTTAACCTCTCACCACTGGGTAAGTAAAGATGTTGCCTTTCCCACAGAATGGGTGGAGTTCTCCCCATATGAGGTTGGCTTTCCCAAATACGGCGCCTTTGTCCCTGCTGAGCTCTTCGGCTCCCAGTTCTTCATGGGGCGACTGATGAAGCGATTGCCTGAGTCCCGGATCTGCTTCTTGGAAGGTGAGGGGCAACAAAGGTAGTCCCGGGGAATCAGGAAGATTGAGGGGGTGTACAGGGGAGAATGGGGCTGGAACAGGGGAGGTCATTGGCCCTTCTTTGTCAGGACCAGGTCCCGAGCTCCTCCTCGTCCCTGGGGGCTCCCTGGGCTTCAGGCAGGCGGAAAGGGTCGAATTTTGTCTGTGGTGTCTGCAGTGCCTCCTATGGTTCTCTTACTTAGGGTTTTATTAATGGAAATGGCATTAAAGAGATGGCATTACCCTCTGCCTTGTTGCTGCTCCCTAAGGACCATGGGGCTTTCCAGCTGACCTGCAGTTGAAACCTCTTTAATGTATTGCCTCCTACTTTAAAATTTGTGCCTCTTGAGAGGGACTGCCTTTGCTTTTCTATTTTCTATTATATCCATAGTGCTTAGTACCATGCTTAATAAATGCAGATCTTTTTTCCTCCCTCCCTTCCTCCCTTCCTTCTTCTCTTCTTCCCTCCCTCTTCCTTCCTTCTTTACTCTTTTCCTTCCTTCTTCTTTCCTCCCTCCCTCCTTTTCCACCTTCCTTCCTCCCTCCCTCCTTTTCTTCCTTCCTTCCTTCCATCCTTCCTTCCTTCCTACACAGGCATCTGGAGCAACCTTTATGCAGCTAATCTTCAAGACAGCCTATACTGGTCCTCAGAGCCTGACCACTTCTGGGATCGCTGGGCTCAGGATCAAGTCACCTTGGGTAAGTTCTGCATTCTTTGGGTCGGCACTTAGATAGAAGTGAGATACAGCTTATCTAGGCCCCTGTGAAAAGAAGACCCATGGGTCTTAGGAATGGCCACTCTCTCCAAACCCTGTCCTGGTCCTGGTTCTTCCCATACCCCTTTCTTCTTGGGGTTGGGGTTGGGGGGAGAGAAGCGAGCTCCTAGCATAGGACATGAAGACCCTGAGAGTCTCCATTTCCTGAGGACCTCCCTCTCCTTCCAATGTGCAGACAAGGAGAAAACCCCCTCTCTGAAGATGGAAGAGCCACCCTCCACCACAAGCAAAATTGCCAAATTCTTTACAGACCTTTTAACCCGGCGCCCCATGGCGGAGGCCTCTCACAACTTTCTGCATGGGCTGCATTTCCACAGGGACTACTTCAAGCACCCCCATTTCTCTGCCTGGAAAGGTCTCAGCTTCCCTGCTGTCTCTTCTCAGATCAGGCTGAGTTTTCTATTCCCTTTAAGACCCTTCTCTTCCACTCTAGCCATGTAGCTGCCCCGTCTGTCTCACTCTCCTTACCTGCTGCCTGATCTACCCCCAATTCTTGGTCTGAGCCCTGATCTGTGTGGTGGCTGCTCTTTGTAAGACCTGCCCTGGGATGGAGGAGCTTCAGGGAAGGACTGTGTCATTTAAAACAGCTGTTTCCCTAGTGTTCAGCACAGGGCCTGGCACATAGTAGGCCCATAATAAATGTGTGTTGACTAACTGATTCATTCTGAGCCATCTCTTGAGAGGCAGTGTGGTATAGTGGATAGGATGCTGGTCCTGGAGTCAGGAAGATCTGGGTTCAGATCCTGCATCTGATAAAGTCACTTAACCTTTTTAGCCTCAGTTTCCTAATCTGTAAAATAAGGGGGGAGGGGTTAGACTCAGTGACTTTTAGGGTCCTTTCCAACTCTTCATCTAGGATCCTCCAAGAGATACTTTCTCTTGGAGTATTCATGGAGATGCTCTCATTCCTCTTGTGATAGACAATCCCTGTGAAGGGGGTGGGTTTTGGTGCTTGAAACCTGGCTGTAAGCTGGCTCTGCTCTTTACCCCAGGCACCAAGCTGGATGGGCATCCTTACCAGCTGACGCCTATGGAGCCATACCTCTGCCTGCTGGACGTCGGCTACTTCATCAATACCAGCTGCCCTCCTCTGCTACTGCCCACCCGCCAAGTGGACCTTATCTTGTCATTAGACTACAACCTCCAGGGGGGCTTTCAGGTTAGAAACGAAAGAGCCACACCTCATCACCATCAGTGGGATGGACTGATGGGACAAATGGACTCCTAAGGAGAAAAGGTCTAGGAGACAAGGCCTGGGAACCTCATAACAACAATAATAATAATGTCTGGCATTTACATAGAGCTTTAAGGTTTGCAAAGCATCTTCACAGTTACCCTGTGAGGTAGGTGCTATTATTATCCTTTTTTACAGATGAGGAAACTGAGGCTGAAAGTGATTTGTCCAGGGTCCCACAGCTATTTCAGCATCTGAAGTAGAATTTGAACTCAGGTCTGCCAGAGTCCAAGTCCAGACCTCTAGTCACTGTACCACTCACTGGCAATTAGCCACAGCTGTACCTTGCTGTGCCTCCTGGGGCTAACCAAGATCAGCTGGCGGGATCAGAGGGGGCACCCTTTACCCATCCTCCACGACTTGGCTGAGGTTGTCTTTGGCGATGGCTGTAGCTGGACCTCACTCAGGCCACATAAAAACTCGTGGGAGTACATTTCATTCCTTTACTCTCTGTCTACAGAGTCGGTGTGGATGGAGGGGCCAGTGTGGGAACTAGAAAGATTCGGGTTCTAGTGTTACCTGTGAGACCTGCTGGCTGGTGTGATCACCATCAAGTCACTTTAATGCCTCAGTGCCCCAGGCAGCTCATAAGACTATTAGTTACCTAAGAGCTGCCGATATGCATCAATGAAGGGCGTTCCCTATGCAGATACAATCACTAGTTTGAACAAAAACATATTAAAAAAAAAAAGACTAGTCTAATTCTCATGGGGAGAGGAGAGAATGTTCTGGTAATTTCTTGGTATTTACTTTGAAGACTTCCTGGCTCCCACTGGGAATCCAACTGGCCAGTTCCAGTAGGGCAGTGCATTCCCTCCCTTCTTCCTCCTTCCTCCTTCTCTCTGTATACAGGGAATCATACCCTTACCTGCCTGGTGCTCTACCCAAAGGATGATAAATTTTGATCGCTGAAATCTCGAAAGATATCTTGGGCTTTACGGGCTAGATTTCTTCCTTAAGGACCATGCGTTAAACCCAAATCACTCTGGCTCTCATTGATTGGCCAACAGTGGATCCCAGCCCAAGCCGCATGTGGTTATTGCTTGGGCTCCAACGGCTCAGAGTGAGTGTAAATAGCAATTGTTTCTGCTTTGGCCAGAAACCCTCTCAGGATCTTCCCCTCCTAGGTTGATTTTTTTTTTTTTGGACTAGGTAAAAAAGATCATTCTTTGCCTCATTTCTTCTCACTTAGCATTTAATTACTGAATGGGCATTGCCTCAGACAAACTGAGACCTGGGAAAGTCCTCAGCTTAAAAAGGCCAAGTTTCCCCACTACATCAGGGGCCATCTCCAGTCATCCTGATGTATATCTGGCCTCTGGACTCAGATGGCTCTGGAGAAGACAGTGAGGCTTGTGACCTTGCACAGCCCTGCCTCACTTAAATCCAATTCACTTGTATGACATCGTATGACACGTGTATGAATCCTCTTCCTGATTCTTCTTCAAGAATGAAGGAGAAACAACAACAATCCTGGCCCCTCTAGCAGTCAAGGTCCCTGGCATGGACCTAGACTGCTGGTAACATTGGGACTCTCTCCCTCCTCAACTCTGCCTCCTGGTGTCCCTCAGTCCCAGCTAAAATCCCACCTACAGGAAGCCTTTCCCATCCCCCTTCATTTTAATGCCTTCCCTCTGATAGTCATCTCCAAGTCATCCTGGATACAGCTTGCTTGTACATAGTTGTTTGCCTGTTGTTTCCCCCATTAGACCGTGAGATCCTTGAGACTCTTTCTTAGTATGTCCAGGACTTAGCACAGGTACCTGGAACATAGTAGGTGCTTCATAAATGTTGATTGATTGACTGGCTATATCCTCCAGGCCTCTTTATAGTTTTCAACATCCCAGCATCAGTATTAGGAAGATGCTCATAATTTGGTGATTCCCATTGTGGTGTAGAGGAAAGAACAAGTCAGGGGATCTGTGTTCAAAGTCTGGCTGTGCTGCTTACTCATTGTGTGATTTTGGACAAGTCACTGCCTCTCTGGTCCTCAGTCCACTCATTTGTAAAATGATTACATTAGACAAATTGGTCCCAAAGATCCCTTCTGGGCTGCAGGGCAGTGCAGTGGATGGAGTCTGAAAAACTCATCTTCCTGAGTATAGATCTGGCCTCAGATACTTACTAACTGTGTGACCTTGGGTAAGGCACTTAACTTTGTTGGCCTCAGTTTCCTCATCTGCAGAGTGAGCTGGAAAAGGAAATGGCAAGCCACTCCAGTATCTTTACCAAGAAAACCCCAGATGGGGTCATGGAGAGTCAGATGTGACTGAAAACTGAACAACAAAGGTCTCTTCTACCTCTGATAGTCTGAGTCAACTTAGACTCACAGAGTTTCTACCTGTGGGGTGGTCAATTCCAAAATATCCCCAAATAAAATGTAAGACTCTTTTTACTTTTTAAAACTGGCTGGTTTAGCCTGATGTCCTCCGTCTGGTTTTTGGTTTTATGTGAGTTTGTATTTAGCACATGACGCTCGTCACAACACATTTCTCACTAACCCAGCCCTGGCCTTGCCAGGGTTTTGTCAGTCACGTACCGTACCTGACTTTGGGCTCATTTTACAATTATAGCAGCTGGAATTGGTGGGCCGGTACTGCCAGCAGCAAGGGATCCCATTCCCCCCCATCACCCTGAGTCCAGAGGAGAAGGAGTTGCCTCGGGAATGCCACAGATTCTCTGACCCTGAGTCTCCAGCTGCCCCTGTTGTACTCCATTTCCCCTTGGTCAATGACTCCTTTCAGCATCACTCAGCTCCTGGTGAGACCATCCTGCACCTTCTCTGAATCTTTCATCCTTGCTTGCACCTGCCCACTGCCCCAACACCTGCCCTTTTGGTCCCTTCCTCTTGTCTTCTCCTGGCCCTTGGTATTTCTTCCTTTTCCATCCTTTTCCCAAGTGGTCTTCCATACACAATTTCCCCATTTCCCCTTCTTGTGACCTCTTCCTTTGCAATGTTCCTCTCCCATTCTAATGATGGTGGTCCCTTCCCTGCAGGCGTTCAGCGGAAGCCTGAGGAACTGGCAGCAGGGGAAGTGAACTTGACCTCTTCTGGCTCCCCTTATCATTACACGAAGGTGACGTACAGCGAGGAGGATGTGGACAAACTGCTCAGCCTCACCCGGTATAACATCTGCAACAATCGAGAGCAGCTCCTCCAGGCCCTCGGGGAGGCTGTGCAGCGGAGGAGACAGCAGAATGGGCAGAGCCAGCAGTGATGGGGAAGTCAGCCGCTTCGGACCACAGCGACCAGATGAACTGGACTGCTGGTCTGCCATCCTGCAACCCCTCCACGCTTCCCTCAACCTGCAGACTTCTTCATGTACTCCAGAGTTTCAAAGGTGGTTCCTTGGGTGTCCAGGTTCCATCTAGTTGAGGCCTTCTTGGCTCTTCTAACCCTGTGGCCAAACCTTGGGAGTGTCCTGGATGTGAGGTCCACTTCAGCTTGCTGCTGAATCTACTACCACTTTCAGCAAGAAGTTCTGGAGAACCGTGGGGAGGGTGCTGCAGAAATGAAGACCTGGGGAGCAAGCCTTATCAAAAATACCTGTTTGGAAAAGAAAAGACAGCAACCCCAATGCGGCCGTGCATCCTGTGCTATTTTCATGTGCCCCTCCTTGGAGAGGGCAGGAGGCTTGGGCCCCTGTTTTCTCTCTTGGGGACCATGGAATGCCAGATAAGATAGCCCATAGCACTCACTGGTCGTGGTGGGAGGTCATCTGGGAAGTGTCTCTGTGTATGTGTGTATGTATGTGTATGCATGTGTGTGCATGTGACAGGGTAGGGGAGAAGGACGGAGAGATAGGAGGAGAGGAAGGATGAGAGGAAAGCGGTTGGAGCACAGACTGGTTCCTCTAAATGGGTGGACTATATTTGATATAAGGAATCAAAGCCCTAAGACATGTATCCTATTGATTTTTGTTGGTGCTAAGACAGAGCACAGACCCATGACTTCTAGTATCCTGTGATAAAGACTGTAGTATAACCATTTTCTTCCTAGCTACCTAAAAATGATCACATTTTTCTATACTTACTGAGCTTATGGTTTACATTCACTTCAGCCTAGATCTCAGGGCTGCCCTTTCCCATTGAGGGGGAGGGGGTGTGGAGGTCAGTGGTAGTGACAGGGGAGTGGGAGTAAGTATTAGGGAGAGGACTTTATACCCTGGGAATTCTGTTCCTGAGATGTGGGCTAATCCAAAGCAAGGAGATAAACAGGAAGTAATGGCCAAGGTATAAGGTCTTCGAGTTGGATGGGATTGGAATAATGGGGGAAAAACACTATCAGAGGATCTGCATTCAAATCTGGGTCTGCCATTTGTTACTTATATCTTTTGGGGTAAATCACTTAAGCTTTCTAGGCTCCATTTTTCTTATTTACAGAATTGAAGGGGTTGGACATCATGACCTCTAAGGTACCTTCTGGACCTAAATCTCTGGCTACCTGATCTCAGGCCAAATCCTGGCCCTCTGTGTTGTCTTCTTGGGCAAATTGCTTACCTCTTCAGGCTCCAGTTTCCTCATCTGTAAAATGAGGGCTCTGATGAAATGATCTCTAATGTGTCTTCTAGCTTTTAAAGTTATGACTCCATGACTTAAGAGGTCATCTGGTTCATGCCCTACTGAATCATGAGTCTTCTCTGCAATTGCCATCCATGGATCATAGTATTTATAACCTAAGGGCCCTTGGGCCCTTCTAGTTTGCATGAGGAGCCTGGAGCCCAGAGAAGGGAATAATTGGAATTATCTTGCCCAAAGTCACACAAGGAGAGACACGGGTCACACTCTCGGTAACCCGTTCTTTTTTCAGGCTGCTCCAATTGTTGGGAAGGTTTCCCCTTGCCTCCTTGAGCCTTCCCCCATTAGTGCTAGTTTTGCAATTCTTAGGCCAAACAAGGTAAATTTGTTCTCTTTCTCACAGACCTTCCAATAATCTGAAGCTGATACATCCTGCCTCCCCTCCTCTCCTCCCTCCAAGTCTTATCCTCTCCATTTCCTCCATTCTTTCAATCTATCTATCTTTTGGAGGGCCCTTCAGCTCAAGGTTCCTTGAGCTTGGCAGGCTGGTCACCTCCTTTTGGACTCTCTCCAGCTTGACCATGTCCCTTCTAAAATGTGGCAGCTGGGACCGCAGGTAGTCATCCAGATGTGCAGTGACCAGGCACAGCAGGACATGCAACACCCTTGCTCTGGACACCGCCGTTTTCTTAACGGGGCCTAAGACTGAATGAGTGATTTGTTTTTGATTTGTCTGCTGATTCCTATTGAGTTTGTGAGCCACAAAGACCTGAATGCTTTGTTTTATTTTTTTTTAATTGATGTTTTGTTTTGGCACAACAGATACTTTCCAACACATGCCCAAACAATCCCCTTCACAAAGTACATTCCCTGAAAATAGTTAAAACAAATCCACTTTGGCCTTTTCCACATGAACTTTCTCCCCCCTCTCATACTTGCACAGTTCACTATTTTTAGCCCAAGTGCAACACTTTATATTTATTTCTAACCGTGATGCAATGGAAAAAAACTCTGGTTTTAGAGTCAGAAAACCTGGGTTCAAATCCCACCTCACGCACTTATCATGTGACACTGGGCAAATTATTTCACTTCTTTGGGACCTCAATTTCTTCATCTGTAAAATGAGAGGAAATGGTCCCCAAAGTACTGTCTATCTCTACCTCTATGATTCTATGATCTTGCTAGCTTCATCCCACTGATTGAGCCAGTTGAGATTTGGGGGGACCCTAGTTTTATCATCCAATAGATTCATTCTCTCCTAGTTTTATGTCAGTCATAAATTCAATGAGCGTGCCTCTATGCTTTCAACCAAGTAACAGAAAACACCAAGGTGGTGGCAAAAACAGAGGCCTAGGGTGGTTGTGGGAGGAGACACTGATCCATGAATCAAAACTCTTCTGGTGCAGTCAACCAGCTCTGAATCTACTTTGTAAAACTTAAGCAAAATCTCTTTATTTTGCCTACAAGTTTATCAGGAGAAACTTTTCTTTATTGCCTTACCTAAATTCAGGCATCTTATGTCAGTGGATAGAGAACTGTGCCTGGAGTCAGGAGGACCTGAGTTCAAATCCAGCCTCAGACAGTTACTAGCTGTGTGACCCTGGACAAGTCACTTAATCCTGTTTGTCTCAGTCTCCTCATCTGTAAAATGGGGACAATAATAGTACTTACCTCCTTGGGTTGTTATGAGACAATAGTAGAGTGCTTAACATAGTAAGCACTATATGAATGCTAGCTATCATTCTTCCTAATTTACTAGTCTAGCCACCTGTCAAAAAAGAAATTAGATTAGTGTGGGTAGAATGATCTCTTCTGGATGATGAATTATGCTGGCTCCTCCCTTTCAAAATACTCACAAATGACTATTTTAATGATCTGTTTTAAGTTTTTTTTTCTTTTTAAACCAAGAATTAACATCAACGTCACCAGCCAGGAGCTGGTACAATGGGGCCCCAAGTCCCCATGGTTTCTGGAGGTTGTTGTCAGCACCAAATGAGGAGGCGTGTGAAACACTCAATCAGCTTTTATTAGCTTGGGAAGGGTCAGAAAAGGTGCTGACCTTGAAGTCATGGGACCTCATCCAAATCTGGCTTTCCTGTTCTACCACCTCTGCCGGTCACTTCTCTGGGCCCAGCTGCTTCATCTATAAAACGAAGGAATTGTACTAGATGATTGCCGAGGCCTCCTCTACCTCTAAGTCCTATGACATTATGGTTGGAAGTGTCCAATGTTTTCCATTTTTTGAAAGTTAGGACACTTCATTAACAATCCAACAATCAGACCAGTGAGTTCTTTCAGTAGCCTAGGGTGTAGGACATCCAGGCCAAGTACCTGAACTCGTTAAGAGCAGGTAGGGATTCACCCCAGCTCTTCCTTATGGGTTTCATGGTGTGCTGTGGTCAGTAGGGTCACAGAGTCGAACATGAGTGAACGACTGAACAACACCATGGTTTCTAATTCCTCCATAAACAGTTTTGTTCTCTATTACATTCTGAAAAAATTCCTCTTTGTAGAGAAAATAGAAACGAAAAAGGGAGTCAAGTAATTCTGCTTCCTTTCCATCCTCTGTCTTCCCATCTGCACCAGGCAGGGGTTTTACTCCTTCTTTGATCTTTTTGCTTCCTCATAGCTAAAAGTGCCCTCCTTCATTTTCTTTAGCATTTACCAAAAGCTGTAGCACATGCAGGGCTCTAACTTTCCTCATACTATTCTTTTTTTTTTTTTTTTTTTGGTAAATAGTGTTTTATTTTTTCCAATTACATGTAAAGATAGTTTTCAGCATTCATTTTTTGTAAGATTTTGAGTTTCAAATTTTTCTCCCTCCCTTCCATCCCCCTTCCCCAAGATGGCAAACAATCTGATATAGGTTATGCATGTGCAATCATGTAAACATATTTCCACATTAGTCATGTTGTGAAAGAAGAAACAGAACAAAATTTCCTCATACTATCGCCATTCTTTTGTATGTGTCTGCAGTTACTTGCCTGTGTTTATATCTCTTACATTTGTGAAATCTGAGTTCACTGGTGATCTCTCTATTCAGCCATGTAATTCTTGTTAAACACCTCTTCCTTTTTTTCTTTTCAAAATCAATTTAGACTATACAAGCAATATTTCATTCTTGGGAGTCTACCATTCCTTTCGACCAACCTTCCCTTGTAAGTGCCTTCTGGCCTTGGATCCTTCCTAGCCTCTCACAGTACTCCTCCAATGCTGCTACATACACATCTGACAATGCTGGGGATGCCCCATCTCATGTATCATCACAAACTAAGAGCGTGTAGCCACTGTCTCTCAAAGTTTCCTTCATTCCTACTTCACTATTTTCCCTTTGTTAGTCAGAACAAGAGTCAGCAAGATGGGAATTTATTTTGCTTAACTATGCATATTTATTACAAGGATTTTTTTTTCTTCCTTTTTTTTTTTAATCCAGTGCTGGGACAAGGTATGAAGGAGAGAGAATAAATACTTGTTAATTGAAAAAAAAAACCTTAAAAAGAAAAAGAACCCAGGGCCAGATGAGCCATATGCCCTACTTGTTGTTTCCTCCATCTTTCGGAAGATGAAATTATCAATTAGGTAAATCCAGAATTTACCAGCTGCTCTGCTTTTAGCAGACAGTCTTCCAGCAGATATCTGACTTGTTAAAAGTTTCCTCTCGCAAATCTAACCTGCTTCCATGCCACCTTTGTAGTCTGTGAGGATGCCATCAGCCATTTCCAGCAGCTGGCCCGGTGATGCTTAGTATACTATGATGGTAGCTTTGATTCACCTTCTTCCTTCAAGTCACAATAAAATGCTTCGTCCCTTGCTTCTCTTCTCATGGGGATTTCCACACAGGTGAGTATGTTGATGTGCAATGCTACCCCATTGCCCTTTATGTGAAATCTGTTCTTTAGAATGAGGCCTATCCTTGCAATATCCCAGTCATGAACCACACCCCCCCATTAAGAGTTAATGATCTCTAGAGATTGTATTTACCTCTCATATTAGGCTCTCGAGTTCATGACACACACTTCATGCATGTGCATGATATCTGCCCCGCTTCCTCATTATAGTCTCCTGCGAATGCCTGAGCGCCTCTTCCTGTTCCTCATCACCCTATGTCATGCTTGCTACCTCCTCTACTATCTGGTTTGACTACTGTACCCGGACCCTTTTTTCCCTCTCGAATAGATTCTTTCATTCCATGTGTATTGTTTCTAGCCAAGAACCTGCCCTTCTTATATCTTATGTGATGGTCCAGAAAACATTTTTGACGCCATCTTCTTAACCTGCTCGTCACTTCCTATATCCTCTGCTCCCTCTTAAGGTCCCTGTCTTCAGTTGGTAACAGTGATGAAAATACCAGCTGTGCCTCCAGATCCTTCCATCACCTGCTTCTCCAGGGCTCCACAACCCCTGGAGATGCTTTCCAGGTTCTTTCTAGGGTAGCACTGGTTCCCATACATAGCTCCAAATGCTCCCTTTGTTCTACCTGTCCACCTCTTGACCCTCATACGCCCCTGAATTGGGTTCCCTTTGGATTCTTCTCCCTTGTCTTCCTCCTGGGTCTTTGTTCTCATTCTGTTAGGAGTCCCCTCCATCATCCCCGGCCTTCTGGAAAGCAGAGAAGTCAACTCTGCTTTGTCTAATCCTGAGTGGTTCCCGTGATCCAACAGAGAAGACAGCTGAAGAGCCACTTCCTTCTATTCAAGAAGGAATCAAAGAATTTTAGATCTGGAAGGGACCTTAAGGATCATCTGGGCTAATCCTTTCATTCTGCAGATGAACAAACAGGTTCAGGAGGCTTAGGTGACATCCAGGGCCACACAGGTAGTAACTGGGTGATCCAGGACTAGCATCTAGGCCTTCTGACTCCGAGTGCTCCTTCCACTTTAGGAGTCATCAATTTAGAGCTGGAAAGGACCACTGAGGTCATCTGATCTGATCACCTCATTTTACAGATGAGGAAACTGAGGTCCAGGGAGTTTAAGCAACTTTTCCAAGGTCATATAGATAGTAGGTGGGAAAGGCAGGATTTGAATCCAGGTCCTAGGATCATAAGGTCGTCAGTCTAAAGCTGGAAGGGACCACTGAGGTCATCCGATCTGATCACCTCATTTTACAGATGAGGAAACTGAGGCCTAGGGAAGTTGTGACTTACCCAAGGTCACACAAGTAGTAAGCATCAGAGACAGGATTTGAATCCAGGTCCTTAGACTCCAAGGCTCTTTCAACTGTACCACACTGCCTTAACTATGAGACCTAGAGACAGTACCACCATGGACAGAATAAACAACAGAAACAGCTTAATTTCAGGAGGAAATAGCCTTGTCACTGTCCTCACCCCTGCTCTGCTCTGTCTTGTTAAGCCATTTGCAACCTGAGCCGCAGAACCTTGTGAGGATAAAAGGAGATATGTGCTGGGATTTCTTAAAGTTGTTTTTTTTTGTTTGGTTGGTTTTTTTTTGTTTGTTTGTTTGTTGTCTTAAAGTTTTGAGAAAAACTTCAGGGCTGGGGTGCAGGACTTTGCTCTGGAGAGCAGAATTCACAGGAAACAATAATGAGGAAGTGGGGCGGATGTCATGCACATGCATGAAGTATGTGTCATGAACTTGAGAACCTAACACGAGAGATCATTAAAGGGGCATGTGATTCATGACTGGGATATTACAATGCAAGGATATGCCTCATTCAAAAGAACAGATTTCATGTAAAGGTCAATGGGGTAGCATTCCACATCAAGATACTCTCCTTCCTGGTGTCCACTCCTTCTGAACCACAGTTTCTCCGGAATGTCTTTCTAGAGCTTCTCCTTTTCCTCCGTGCTGAGGTTGGGAGCCCTCGCTGTCTCATCCACAGTCCCAGGTCCTGCAGGAGAACAGGGAGTCTGGTTTTACCAGGGAGCAGGGCGCTGATGGGTCTGGTTGCTTCTTGCTTTTTTTCCCCCCCAAACTGAGATCCTTTTTAACTCTCTGGCCTTCTCCACAACTCCAGGCCCCATCTCTTTTTAGAAGAATTGTTGGGAGCAGGCAAGTTATCTTCAGAAATGACCAAGATTATATATTAAAAAAAAAACAACCTATCATGGTGATAAAAACTAGCATTTATATGACACTTTATGGTTTGCAATGTACTTTACAAATATCTCATCTTCATAACAACCCTTGGCGGTAGGCGCTGCTATTTTACAAATAAGGAAACCGAGGCAGACAGGTTAAATGCCTTGTCCAGGGTCACTGAGCTAGTCAGAAGTCACATTTGACCCCATGTCCTTCTGACTCCAGGTCTAGCATTCTATCCACTGTACCACCTAACTTTATAACGCGGACCCTATGACTCACCTTGCTGTGTTTCGGTAATGTTTTTTAAAAATGCTTGTTGACTGACTTTTCTACACACAGAGACAATGTGTCAGAGTGGAAACAACACTGGACTTGAAGTCCACAGGGACCTGGATTTGACCCATGCCTTTGATACTTGTGAGCTGCTATGTGATCATGGGCAAGTCATTTACCTGTGGAAAGTGTGAAACCTGTGTGTAGGTTGGCACATCTATAAAACTGAGAAAAGAGGGGCAGCTAGGTGGTTCGGTGGACAGAATGCTGGGTCTGGAGTCCAGAAGACCAGGGTTCAAAACTGGCCTCAGACACTTACTAGCTATGCGACCCTGGGCTAGTCACATAACCCTGTCTGCCTCAGTTTCCTTATCTATAAAATGGGCTGGAGAAGGAATTGGCAAACCACTCCAGGAGCTTTGCCAGGAAAACCCCAAATGGGGTCACGAAGAGTCGGACATGACCAAGCACTATGGAACATTGCACCACCAAAACTGAGATAATCGTTCTCATCCTATTGACCTCTGGGGTTTCTGTGAAGCTCAAAGGTGTCTGTAAAGCAATTTGCGAATATTCAACACTATGTAAAATGTCAGCTATTCCTAATAGGTTGAGACTTGTAATTTCATCGGTGTGGGGGATTCCTGGTCTGGAAATACCCTCCAACAATAAGGTTGTGAGTTACTACGGCCTTGCCTAGGGCCCTGGGAGCTGAATTGTTCATCTTCCAATCTATGTCAGAGGTGGCGCCTGAACCCAGATATTTCTGACTCCAAGGCCAGCTCTTCAGGCATTACAACAGGCTGCCTCCCCTGTTATTATTATTATTAAATTATATATGGGAGGGACCATGAGGCTGAGGGAACCACAGAGCTGATTTTTCTCAGGCACCTCTCTGCCCAGGAACAGGGTTTCCTCCTTCCTTCTAGATCTAGGCTAGGCAGTGGTGTAGACAGTGCTGGGCAATGGTGTAGACAGCTTGGTGCATGAAATCCCTACGTGTAAGATTGCTGTGTCTGTGAGAGTAATGTCTGTAGTTTGGCATATTATGGGAATATAGTCTATTCATTCCTGTATGTCCTTGCACCCCCTTTATCAGATATGTTCCCATCTAACTGTAAGTACTTCTACCTCTCCATGTAGGCCGACCATATCCCTATGTAGAGCCCAAGCAGACCTTGGAGTAGAAGTGGGGGAAGACTAAATGAGGGAGAGAAGAACACCAAGGGAAGGGGGCAGGGTCTGTAAGAGATGATAAAGAGGCAGAATGATGGTCATCTGTGCCCAGGACCATGGGATGCCCTCCCATCCCCATGAGGTTTCTGAACCTCAAAGTTCACATTCCACAGTTTAAGCACAGGTTCAGGGCCCCAAGTGGGATGGCTGGAAAGAGCACTTAGGAACACTGCTTTGCCAACTTTAAAGCCTTCTGTAAATAATAATTGTTATGATTATTATTCCAGAAAGCCTGCCCTTCCTGCATTTTTGCTCCTGATCAGGTCTCTCAACCTCAAAGGATTCTTGGTGAGGAGACAGCGGATAAATACACAGGCATTTGCAGGAGTCACCAGACTTTAGCTTCCCAGCTCTTAACTGTGACAGAGAGAGTGGGGTTCCTTTCTTCCCTAAGTAGAGGGTACCTTAAAGTCTGGGCTAGCCAGAGATGAAGGCAAGGTACAAGGCAGAGAGGAAAGTAGAGGCCAGATAAGAAGAGCACATATGTTCTGTATAAGTAAAGGGGAAAATAGGAGGAAAGACTAAAATTGTAAGGAGTAGGTTTTCCCAAATTAGATAACCTCTCCCCTGCCTTATTTTAGACATCTTGTTTGGAGCGTGATTCACCGGACGTGGAAGGGGAGACACACGGGACGCCCCTTACCAATGGCACGGCCAGGAGCTGGAGGCCGCATGAAGTCTTGTGTTGTTCTCTCCAAAGGTCCAGTCTTCCTCTGGAGCTTAAAGGAAGGTGTCCGCCTGTGAACAGACAACATCGTTTCTCTCAGAGTGCGGCAGGAGATGGGCTGATCTGGAACAGGGCATGTGCGTGATGAGAGAGCGCACAGGTGGGATCGAGGGGAACCCAGGCAGCCCGTGACACCAGAACGTCTGGCTGTCTTGTGCTTACTTGGCCATTGGCACTGGAGGAAACAGGGCAGTGCTGAGTGGGAGGGCTCCGAGTCCCAGGAAGAGCCCTAAGTACCAAGCTCTGTCTCTCCTAGGATAGCTGAGGACATCCAAAGACACAGAGATAACCTCCTAAAAAGCTGATTGAGCTCAGAGAATGGCATCTCTTCCACACACTCCTTACCCCGGTCCCTTACCTGGGTAGGATGATCTTGTTAGGCAGTTTCTCAGAAGGGTTCCCACTCAAGGAGCTGAGATGTTTGGCTCTGGGTTCTAGGCTTAATCCTTGGGCCTTGGGAAACGCTATGGGGCAAGATCAGATCAGAAGTCAGGCCCTGGTTCAGTGGCTGAGTCTTCTCCAGAAAGGCTTCCCTTTCTTGGCTTCATGCTCTCCTCCGAGACCCAGAGTCTCTGGGTGGAGTTTTTCAAGCAATAATAATTTATTGACCATTTCTGATGTGTTACTGTGCCATTGTGTCAAGTGCTGTGGGGTTTCTATGCTTTGCCATTAAAAGGGGAATGCTATGAAAGCCAGAGCTCAGGAGATCCAAACTGAAGGCGAATCTGTAGGAACCAAGGCAAGAATTATCCTAGAGCAGGGTTCTTAAGCTGGGGTCCATGGACCCCCAAGAGGTCAGTAGATAGATTATAGGCACCTGTGAACTCAGATGGCAAAAAAATTACATCTTTATTTTCACTAACCTCTAACTGAAATTTTGAATTTCCTTCAGTTATTTAAAAACATTCTGGGAAGGGGTCCAATGATACAAAAATGGTTTAAGAATCCCTATCCTTAGCCATTCTCCAATAGATACATGGACAAAGGATATGAAGAAACAGTTCTCGTGAGAATTGCAAAGTATTCAAAGCCATATGAAAAAAATGCCTCAAATCACTAATAATAATGTAAATGCAAATCAAAACAACCCTAAGTTGGGGCAGCTATGGGGTGCAATGGACAGAACTCTGGCCTGGGAGTCAGGAGGACCTGAGTTCAAATCTGACCTTGGACACTTGACACTTATTAGCTGTGTGACCTTGGGCAAGTCACTAACCCCGATTGCCTCAGCAAAAAAACAAAAACACAAGCCTGAGGTTTTGCCCCACACCCTGTAAATTGTCAAAAATTACAAAAAGTAGCAACAGTCAATATTGAAGGGGTTGAGGGAAGATAGGCACACTAACACATTGTTGGTGGAGCTGTGAAATGGTACAAGCATTTTGGAAAGTAGTTTGGAATTATACAGATAAAGTGATTAAAGTGTCCATATCCTTTGAACCAGAAACTCCATTACTAAACTCATACCCCAAGGATTAGAAGAAAGTTCCCATGTACTCCAAAATATTTATAGCAGCACTTCTTGTGATAGCTAGGAATTGTAAACAAAATAGATGCCCATTGATAGGGGAATGGCTCAACAAACTGTAGTATGTGAATGGAGTGGAATATTACTGTGCTGTAAGAAATGATGTGTGATGAGTACAGAGAAGCATGGAAAGATCTATATGAACTGATGCAGAGTGAAGTAAGCAGAACCAAGAAAACAACGTACACAATAACCACAACAATGTAAATGGAAAGAACAATCACACACCAAAAATTCAAAAGTGAATAATAAAATTATAAAGGTCAAGCAGGACTTGAATGAAAAGTTATGAGAAGACATTTCCAACCTATCCTTTCATGGAGGAGGCAGGCGGTCCACAGGTGTTACCTGTTGCACGAGTCTTTGAACTTCTTTGATATTGATCAGTTGTGCTATTTTTTTTTCTCTCTAAAAATGCTATTTATCATATGGGATGGCTCTTTGTGGGGGAGGAGGAGAGGAGTACCTGACCTAACTATGTAAGAAACAGAAAATAACAATAAACATGCAAAAAAAACCACCAAACCCTGTTCTAGAGGGACTGAGGCTATGGGGAGATTCTGAGGTAAAAACGAAGCAACAAAAATAAAAATCTGAGATTTTCAGATGCAGCTGAAGCAAGAAAGGGAAGAACCATAACTAACATGGAGCCACTGGGATTTTGCCTCAGTGCGCTTATGATTAGGCCTGGGGATGAATTATTAGGACTATCATAGACAGAGAGCCCCCACACCCAATGTTGTTCTTGGAAAGAAAGTATGTCTCCTTCCTGGCCTGAGGCTAGGCCAGCATCTCTTCCCCCCCTCCCCACAAGGGCCCTGTAATTATAATTGTAATACTTTTCTTCTGGGACAGGCTCCTGTCAGTACGTGGCCATACCCAACCCAGCAGGGCTTTCTCAGACTGCCTGGGGACCTGTGTCACTGGTAGACACCCAAGATTAGAAGTGATTGCAATGCATTTTCGGGGTCTACCAGGATCTCTGCCCCTCCCCACTCCCAATTGCTGGAATTCCCAATTATAGTTCTGGGAAAGGGAATTCCTAGAACAACAGTGCCTACATGAGTGAATTTCCAAAAAAGAAAGAAGTAAAAGGTACCAGGGGGATTGTAAAAGGACAAAGTCTGGGGGAAGATCCCTGGAACCAGCTATCGTGTGGTGGAAAGAATAGGCCAGCTGGGAGATCTGGATTCTTGTCCCAAGGTTTATGACCTCGGACAAGTCATTCAACCTCTCTGGGACTTACTTCCAAACTCTGCTATAAAATGGAGATAATCTCTATCTCCCTCACAGAGTAATTATGAGGTTCAGAGAAGATAATGGAAAGAAAGGGACTTAAAAAAAAATAAAATTAAGTAAATAAAGTATGATACGAATGTGAGTGATTAAGAGCTGGGCAGATTCCAGGGAGTAAAACCTGGGAATTCAGATTGGCCCAGTTTCCTTTGCCCTGTTTTTCCCATGGAACGTACCGGCACTGCTGCTTGGGACGTGCAAAGAGAGACCAGTCTGTCCTTCTGGTGATGTTGGTAGCAGGATTTCAGAACTGTTACTGTGCCACAGACAGGGAGAGGATCAAGCAATATGATTATGGACTTTTAGAACTAGAAGCATCTTAGAGAATCATAGGGTAATCTTTCTGATCTTTCAGCTGAGGTACAAAAAGATGATAGAAGCAATCAGAAACAGCCCTTTGTTGTATTATTTCTTCATATTTAGTAAGCAATAGGAGTTCAAATCTGGCCTCAGACACTTACTAGCTGTGTGACCCTGGGCAAGTCACTTAACCCCATTTGCCTCAGTTTCCTCATCTGTAAAATGAGCTGGAGAAGGAAATGACAAATCACTCTAGTATCTTTGCCAAGAAAACCGCAAATGGGATCAGGAAGGGTCAGACGTGACTGAAAAATGACGAAACAACAATACCAAAACTGTGTAACACCTTTGGAGGGGTAATATACGTTTTCAAATCCCTGAAAGTTTTATTTTGTGGGTATATCCCTGACCATGCCAGAATTCAGCCTCAGCACATGCAAAAAACAACATGCTTGTCTTAGGGACTCTTGATTCACTGGCATCTGCTGGTTGGCAAGAATTGCTGGCATCATTTTACAGGCATTGTAAAACTGTTCAGGGAATAGACTGTGCTCAGCAATGAGTTCTCTCTAAAACAGCTATATTCTGCAGCTTCCTGATTTCCCGGATCCATTCTACTAGTTAGAATTAACGTTCCAGCATGGCTTCTCACTTAGAAATACCAAGACCATCCATCAGAAAACACATGTAGATCGGTCAACCAAACTGGGTCATTACAACATTTTGCCTTTTCCGTCAGCATGGGGCTGGAGAAGAGGGTATCATTTGATTATTTGCACTAAGCTTGTGAGATCCCCAAGAGCCGGGACTGTCTTCTGTCTTTCTTTGTACCTCCAGTGTAAAGATCAAATCAAATGAGATAATAGATGTAAACAGATGAACAATTATAAAGCCCTCTTTGAATGAAAGCCCTCCATGACATGGTCCCAGCCTGTCTTCCCAACCTCTTTGCTCATGATTCCTCCTCCTGTGCTCTGTGATTCAGACAAGCAGGCCTTTTCTCTGCTCCTCACGTCCTCTGTCCTATTCCTTATGTCCTCTGTGCTTTCGCACTGGCTGTGCCCCATTCCTGAAATGCCCTCTCTCCTCGCTGCTAGCTCACAGACTCCCCTTCCTTCAATATCACTCAAGCACCATCTTCTACATGAAGCCTTTCCTGATCTCCCAGTGGATATAACCCTCCCTCCAAAACTGGTGGCTCAGTGGATAGAGCACTGGGCCCGGAGTCAGGAAGACCTGAGTTTAAATCTGACCTTAGACACTTACTAGCTGTGTGACCCTGGGCAAGTCACTTAATCCTGCTTGCCTCAGTTTCTTGTCTGTAAAATGAGCTGGAGAAGGAAATGGCAAACTGCTCCAGGAGCGCTGCTAAGAAAACCCCATGGACAGTATGGACAAAGAGTTGGACATGACTAAACAACAAACGTATAAGTCCCTTGTATTTACTTTGTATAATATTCTTATGTGTGTACCTGTTGTTTTTCCCCAAAAGAATCTAAGTTCCTCGAGAGCAGAAATTGCTTTGTCCTTTGGTCTTTGCATTCACAGCACCTAACACAGTGCCCGGCACATGGTAGACTCTGAATAAATACTTGTTGATTGTTCATGTAAGGGATCTGAAACTTAGGCTTCTGTCTCTGTGACTGCAGTGCTGTTCTGTAATCTGTCCATGTGTGGCTGGTCCTCTTTCGACCACCACGGTGTCTGTTATCAGCTGTCACCACGTCTAATCTCTTCAACTGCAGCAGCCATTTCTAACATCCACAATCACTTCTGCTGTCTGCCGCCCCCGCTATCTGCCCATTCTTTTGTGGCATCGAGGTGGCATAGAGGAGAGAGAGAGCTGGCCTTGGATTCAGGAAGTCGTTGAGTCATTTCAGGTGTGTCCGACTCTTCGTGACCTCATTTGGGATTTTCTTGGCAAAGATCCTGGAAATGGTTTGCCATTTCCTTCTCTGTCTTCCTTTACAAATGAGGAAACTGAGGCAAACAGGGTTAAGTGACTTGTCCAGGGTCACACAGTTAGTGTTTGAGGCCACATTTGAACTCAGGAAGATGAGTCTTCCTGACTTCAGGCTGACACTATATCCATGTGCCACCTGGCTGCCCCGACTTCAAAATCCTGCTTCAGATACTTACCAGCTATGTGACCCTGGGCAAGTCACTCAACCTCTACCTCAGTTTCCTCATCTATAAAAGAGGGATGATAATAATAGCACCTATCTCTCAGAGTTGTTGTGAGGTTTAAATGAGATAACTTGTGTAATGATCTTTGCAGACCTTAGAATGCACATAAACACTAATTGCTAATTATTATTATTATTATGCTACTTCTCTTTTCTTTTCTATTTCTTTTCCCTTCTCCCCAAATCCTCGGTTTTCATATGGAGTGGATATCTATCATAAGCATCTCTAGGAAATGAAACCGCTTCCTCTCCTGATTGGCAAACACACCATTTTTAACCGTTTCAATTTTCTTCTTTTCTTTCTTCTCACAGTCCTTTTGTGGGAACCTCTTAGCTATCAGAACCTCTTATCTCTTTCCCTTAGAACCCCCAAAGAAGTAGCCATTCCAGGGTGAGCTGTATTGAGTATCTCTGCATCCCAGAAGTGAGGTATCTGGTTATCTCTTATGTCTTGGGATCATACGTCTATCTTCCCCCAAGGCCGAGGGGCTCTCACCTCTGGTAGAAAGTGGCCTCTGGTTCAAGGCAGCCACTCAGCTTGCTGCACTGGGCTCCTACTAGGTTGTAGGGGTCTGGGGAAGCGACATCCTGAGAAGAGGCAAAAAGCAGGTCCTAACACTGACTCCTCTTGTCTTTGCTCCTATTTTTCAGCTTTTCCTCACCTGTGAACCCTCTCCCTTCTTTGGGCTCTCCTCAGCCACCCACCCCACCTTTTCCCCTTCCTTCCCTAATCATCTGGGATCTACCCCACATACCTCAAGTATTTTTCTCTTGTCTGGGTTCAGCCTCAAGAGGTCCCACTGCAACGCCCCATCACACTTCTTCCAGGGACTCCCACCCAGCTGCAGAGACAAGCCAAGGGCAGTGGGAGTGGTTCTCCTCCCCTTCTTCCTCTCTTCTCCCCCTGAGACTTTCTCTTCCTGCTCAAGCACCTGTGTAGTGATTTAATGAAAGGATATCTCTGGGGCTCCTTCAGTATGGCAGGGAAAAGGGATGACTATCAGCCCGAGGCAGAGCCCTCCTTCCCTGGGATTCTGAAGAACAGCCTAGGGCCCTATTGCTTACAGTCCATGATGGGCTTTGTGGGAGCCCGTCCTGCAGAAGCAGCAGCATCCTGGGGGGAGAGGGGGTCCCCCGCTTACATACACCCAGACCATAGAAAGTCATTTGGGTCTGGTCCAGATAGCTCCACTCACTGTCCCCACTTTCCATTCATCCTGAGGACTCAAAGGAGTATAGTCCTACTGTTGCGGGAGGAGAGAAGAATAAAGACAATCTCATCTCTTGGGACTCACCTGCCTCCCTGAAGGTAGAAACTCTTGTTTTTCCTTCAGTTTTTTTAACCCCTCCAGGTTAGGGGGATCCTTTAGACTCTGAAAACAAAGGACCACGGGAGTGAGAAATGAGAGGTTGGAACACCAGATCTGGCATCAGCCTTCCTTTTCTATTGGTAGCCCCAGCATTTAGCACGTAGAAGGCAATTAACAAATGCTTTGTTCGTGCATTAATTCATTCACTCACAGAGGTGAAGTCACATGGGTAGTAAATAGCCAAGTTGGGATTTGAACTCAGTTCCTCTGACTCCAAATCCATTGTTCTTTCCGATATATTGCACCACTCTTCACTGCCCCAGTGTGTCCCAAACCCCAGGTCCCATGGTCATTACTCACTAATATGGTTCCAGGTGATAGGAAGGAAGCAGGATCGGTCTCCCTTGTCCCCAAGGGTTGCTCCCCACTTGACTCCCTCTCTTGCAGGGGGACGTTCTGCTTGACCGTTTGCAATGGGGAGAAGATGGTGGTGGAAGGAGTCCAAGGCTGGAAGGCAATCCTCTTCTTTAGGTTTGTCCTATCAGCCAGCTTCATTCCTGACCCCAGGCCTTCCAGGGGCCTCTTCTGGAGGGATAGGACTCGTCTACTTCTCTTTTCCATGGTCTCGGACCTTAAGCCTTCTGCTTCTACCTGCTCCAGCAGCTTCCGGTCAATCTGCGGGCCCAGCATGGAGACTGGAGTAAGACCGGGCCATTGACCTGGGTCGTGGGCTCTGAGCTGAGATAGTCTTCTCCCAAACCCAGCCCTCCAAAGAACCCCTGGTTCTCTGTGGTTCCCATCTTTACCCTGCCCCAATTTCAGGAGATTTCCCCTCCCTGTCCCCTTTATAATAGCACTTCATTCAGCTGACATTGATGAGATTCGGGGGCAGTACTAGATGGGAACAGGGACAGAAAGAGGTGATGCTGAAGGGTGGAAGGAAGGTTAAGAAAGAAGAGGTAAGGGCTTGGAGGGATGCCGAGTCACAATAGGATGCCAAGAAGATAGACCACCACCACCCCCGACTTGTGCCTTGGCCCCATGCCTCAGTCTTCCTCTGCAGCTGGTCAAACTTCTCTTCCTGAGAGGCCAGCATCTTCTCAAGGTCCTGGTGCTTTCTGAGTAACTCTTCTACATCAGACACCGAGTCCTGGAAAGAAGCAGGGCTGAAATGAGGCCCAGATGCCCAACCTTGTGCCAACGTACGTCTTCCCAGCCTTGTTCAGATTGTAAGCTCCTTGAGGGCAGCCATTGTCTTTTGCCTCTTTTTGTATCCCCAGCACCTAGCACACGGCCTGGGACGAAGGAGGCACTTAATAAATCGATTGTTTCTTGTTACTCTTCTTCATGTACTCTGTGTTCCAGCCACACCGGTTCCCCAGACGTGACCTGCCATCTTCCCCCTTCACCGGTTTGCCCAGAGTGATCCCTGTGCTTGGAATTCCCAAGCCTGCTCTTCATCTTCTTTCAAGGTTCGACACATGTGCCACCTCTTACATGAAGCCAGCCTTGATCTGACCTCCCACTCTTCCCCAAGCATAAAATATTCCCTTCCCTCTTCAAGCACTTCCCTCCCAGCACTTTATGATCTTTCCTTGTTTTATCATATTCTACAGATTGTGCATACATACACATATGTCATAGGCTCTGTTCCGTAGTGTAAACTCTGCATTATTTTTCATTTTTGTCTTCCCACCACCCATTGCTGTACCAGCATACAACATTCCATCTCCCACCTCAGTACCTTTGTGCAAGCTGTGCCCCATGCCTGGAATGCACTCCCTCCTTCTCCACTGCCCCTTAGGATCCTTGGTTTCCCTCAAACCTTAACTTAAGTGCTCCCTAGTACGTGGGACCTTCTAATTCCCCCTAGGGCTTTCACCTCTCCCACCTGCCCCAAAATATTCTGTATTTACCCTGTACCATACTTACATTTATATAGGTCCTCAATACCCCCCTCCCATAGACTATAAACCCTTTGAGAACAGGGATTATTTCATTTTTGTCTTCGCATCTCAGTGCCTAGCACATAGCAGGTGCTTTATTTTTTAACAAGAAAAGATAAGGGACATGCTTAATTGAATAAGCAACAAAAGGTAAGGACTGGACAAATGATACAATCTAAAATCCACTTTACAGAGAAATAGTCTTTTTTTTTTTTTTTTTTTTTTGTGAGGCAATCAGGGTTAAGTGATTTGCCCAGGGTGACATAACTAAGGTGTCTGAGGCCACATTTGAACTCAGGTCCTCCTGACTCCAGGGCCAGTACTCTATCCCCTGTGCCACCTAAGAAATAGTCTTTTAAGAGAACTTTTAGCTTTGGCCCTTTTTATTTTGAAAGGAGCAAAAGGTTTACCTTGCACATGAGACATGATAAATATTTGGGGAATTACTTTGTTGAATCAAATTCCTTGACTGGTGGCCTGTTTTTACTTGCCTCCCCATCAGTCCTGTTTGGGCAGAGGCCCCAGCACTGCCAGTGAGCTGGAGGAGCCAGGGCGCCAAGGGAAGCAGGAGGGGGTGGGGGGGCAGGGTGTTGACTCACCCCGAGGTTGGGGTCCAGGAGGAGGCCCTCTCTTGAGCTCAGCCAACTGTCAGCCTTTTCTAGCTCCTGCCGGAGCGTCAGCAGCTCCAAGTTCTCTTTGTACAGCCCATGACGACGTACCCACTTTTCCTGCAATTCCTGCAGCTGGTCTCCCAGTTCTTGGTGCCACTCCATCACCTGGATGATGAGGATGAGGATGAGGATGATAGCTACCATTTATATACCACTTTAAGGTTTGCAAAGTGCTTTACATGTTATCTTATCTGATCCTCACAGTAACCCTATGAGGCAGGTGGTATCATTTATCCCCATTCTTCAGATGGGGAAACTGAGGCACAGAATGGTTAAGTGATTTGGCCAAGGTCACACCACTAGTAGTTGTACAGGACAGGATTTGAGCTCAATGCTCATGATTCCAAGCCTGATGCTTTATCTCCTATGCCATTAAGCTGTTATAGAAGACAGAGGATGGGTCCAGGTCGGCCAGACTGTTCAGGGCTAGAGAGAGAGGCCTTGGGTTCCTAGCTCCTCCCACACTCTGAGCTCCCATTCTTCCACATCCTCACCCCTCGATTTCCCTCTCCTTGCTGGGGCTCCCTCCCAAAGCCAGCCTGTCCTTGACTTCTGCTCTCATCTCTTCTCCTGCACTGACCTCTTGGGCCATAAAATGGCCGCTGCCTGCCAGCTGCTCTCCTTCTCGCTGAGCAGCCTGCACCAGAAGCCGGTGTTCTTCAATGTCCTGCCTGAGCCCTTCATGCTGCAGTAACTGTCGCTCTGCCCCGGTCACGTCCGCAAACGGTTCTTCCAATGTTACTAACCTCTGCATCTCTTGGGTCAGGCCTCTGTGGGGCAGAGAAACTTGGATCAGAGCCTGGAGAACCCAGAAGGGAGTCATCATAACAAAGGGCATACTTTCTTGTCCTCTTCTCCAAAGGAGACAGGACGGTGCATTGGAAAGACCACTGGCTCTGGAGTCAGAGAACCTGGGGTCAAATCCTACCCCTGATGCTTATTGGCTGTGTAACCTTGGGCAAGTACTTTATTTCTCTGGGCCTCAGTTTCTTCATCTGCATAAATGAAATCTAGGTTAGATTAGTGGCTTCTTCAGTCCTTTGAGCTACAATCGTCAAGTAAATGTGAGAGTAAAAAACAAAATATACGTTTGGTGAGAGCAAAGGACCACCAATGGACGTCCCCTGTGGGCCACCTTTGGAGAAAGTGAGGAAAGCCCCTCAGCGCTGTTGCTTGGGTGTAGCAGGGGTGTGCTAGAGCCAGCTTAAATGGGATCTTAGGAGCCAGGCTCCTGAGAACCGAATGTTCAATTTTCAGCGTGAGCATTTACATGCAGGAAATCTGCAAACACGGAAGATACGGGTTGGATCTATTGTCTTGTCGATTGTCCAGACTTAAGTCTGGCAAGTGATGGAGAAAATGTTAAAAGTGCAGACTAAACTTAAAAGTGTTTCCCATGCACAGTTCTTTCCTGGAGAGTTGGTGGTTAAACATTTACCAGCATGCTCTTGATCCCTAGCCGGAAGGCTACGGGGTAGATGAGGTCTCCCAAAGAAGAAGCATCCCTCCCCACATCCCAACCTCTACACCACACCTGACAAGTGATCTTTCAGCATTTGTTTGAAGACCACCAATGAGGAGGAACAGCTGTACTTCTGGACAGCAATCGTTGGTAGGAAGCTTTTCTTGGCATCAAGCTTAAACTGGGCTCTTGGCCACTTCTGCCCAGTGTTTCCCAGGTCTACCACCCTCTGGGGCCTTATTCCTCTCAAACCCGACAGCCTTCAAATATTTGAAGAGAGCAGTCACGTCGCTCCTGAGTCCTCTCTTCCAGCTGCTTCAGCTGACCCCCATAGGGCATGAACTCAAAGCCCTTCACCATGCTGGCTGCCTTCCTCTAGATGTTCTCCAGCTTACCTAAGTCTCCTTCCCAGGATGTCTCCTCTCGCCCACCCCCTGCCCAGATCAGAGCACAGTACTGCCAGTGGGGTCTGACCAGGTCAGAGCATCTGGCCGGCCTGTGGGAGGCTGGGCTGGAACCAGACCAGGGGTCTATGAAGGATAGGGAATGGCTAGGCCAGCCCCCACTCACAGCAGCTCTCTACAGCGGCTTAGGAAGATGTGGCCACGTTCAGCTTGTTGCAGCCACTGGCTTTGATTCTGGGCCTTTTTGTCCAGTGCGCTCCAGGATTCCTGCACCTCTGCCAGTCTCTCAGCCAGGCTTTCCTGAACGGCCGGGTACAGCCGGCCCAGCCAGCCTGCTTCAGCCTGCACCCGGCCCACTTCCTTCTCCATGGCTACCAGCTCCCACTGCAACCAAAGAACATTAGCAGACCACACTCCCCTAGGATTTGTGCTCCCTGGCCCAGAATCCTCCTTCTGCCCTCCCTTCCCCCTCCCTCTCCTCTCCTCTCCTCTCTCTTTCCCCCTCTCCTTTTTACTCTCTCTCTTTCCATTTTTCCATATCTTCACCTCTAGACTCTCCCCCTCTTTCCTCTCTCTCCCCTCCTCCTCCTCCCTCCCTCCCTCCTTCCCTCCCTCTCCTATTCTTCCATATCCTCAACTCTAGATGCCCCACCTCTCCTTCTCCTCTCTCTCTCTCTCTCTCTCTCTCTCTCTCTCTCTCCCTCTCCTTCGCCACTCTCTCACACCTCCCTCTCTCCCTTACACCTAGTCACAGCCCAGAGGGTTGTGCTAACTCAGGCCTGTGGGAAGGACAATCTGCTGTCCGGCTCTTCCAGATCTCAGGCTCCCTCACCTACCTCCAGGTTCCTCTGCTGTCGTTGAAGGGCCTGCACAGATGACAGGTTGTGGCCATAGTCCCCTTGACCCAGCACAGTGGCCTTTTCCTGAATCCAGTTCCATAGCTCAGCCGCTGCCTGATCAAAGCCATGGACCTCTCTGGCAGCCACCAGGTTCTGGGAAGACAGTAAAAGAACTGGAGGTATGACTGCACAGACCCCCAGCTCTGGAGTCAGGAGTCGTTGTTCAGTTGTTTTTCAGTCCTATCCGACTCTTGACCCCTTTAGGGGCTTTCTTGGCAAAGACACTGGAGTGGTTTGCCATTTCCTTCTCCAGCTCATTTTACAGATGAGGAAACTGAGGCAAACATGGTTAAGTGGCTCCCCCAGGATCACACAGCTAGAGCCCAAGGACAGATTTTAACTCGGGTCTTCCTGATTCTAGGCATCCACTACACCACCTAGCTGTCCAAGAGCTCTACATGTATTGTCCTACTTGAGTGTCACCTATAAGGTGGTTCCATTAGTATCACCATTTTACAGATGAGGAAACTGAGGTTCCGAGTAGTGAAATGGCTTGACCAGGGTCATGTAACCACTAGGACTTGAATCCACATATTTCTGACTCCAAACGCAATAAACTGCCTCTCCTGTACTGCCAATGCCTTGCCCATCACAGGTACTTAACAAAGAAATGTTTGTTGAATGGAAGTATAGGATTTAGAGCTGGAAAACACTGTAGAGGCTATCTGGGCTAATCCTCTTATTTTGCAGATGGGGAAACTGAGGTCTAGTAAGGTGAAGGGATTCATTCAGGGTCACAGGGTCATAGATGTAACACTTCAGAGGCCATCTGGTCCAACTGCCTTATTTTACAGATGGGGAAACTGAGGCCCAGTGAGGCAAAGAGACTTTCCCAAGGTGATGTAGGTAGCTAAGTGGCAGACCCAGGACTTGTCTTTTGGCTCAGAATCTCATGCTCCTTCTCCTAAAACCACAGCACAAGAAATCAGGGGGTTGCCCAAAAGAGAAGTGGTAAAAGGGTTTTTGCTTAGTCTGACAATAAAAAGACTGATTTCCACAAGGCACGTGAGAAAACCAGCCTCATTTCTTGGAATGCCTGAATTGTTTAGCTTATAACGTATTTTTCCTTCTTGCCACTGAAGAACAAGAAAAAAAATAATAAGCTCCCATTAGTCCTAGATCTTTAAATGGTAACCTGGTGTGCTTGTATGAGGAATATCTAAAGCCCTAAATAAGAGTTTTGGCAACTGAGACAAATTGGGGGTGCACTGTGCTGGGCGGGGGAAGGGCTTCTAAGGTATGACCACCACTCCGTGTGCTTGTGGCAGACAGAGGTCATGGAAGTGGGGAAGCTGAGGAACTGGGAGGCCTAGATGTTCAGAGGGAAAAGGCCTGGGATGTAGAAAACAATAACTTATTGGGAGCAGTTGGGGGTGGGGGGATGGGAATACCTGAAGGTCCATAGATACAATAAGACGGATCTGGGAGTGATGGGGTGAGCTGTAAGGGACCAGTGCTGATTGGTGAGTGATGCTGGCAGAAGGCAGGCCTGAAAGTGGGGAGCAGAGACTATAAACTCAGCCTCCTTGCCTTGAGCATTAGGGGGTGGGAGAGAAGGAGCAGCCAGCCTTCAAGAGGGAACCAAGAGCAGCGGTGTCTTCAGGAGAAAGCTAGGTTTCAGTGAGCATCAAGGCGTCTTGGTATAGTTGAAAGAGCACTGGTTCTGGGGTCAGAGGTCCTGGGTTCAAATCCAGCTTCTGATGCCTACTATCAGAGTGATTTAGCTTCCCCGGGGACTGACTCTTCATCTTTAAAAAAATGAAGGGATTGAATCTGAGATCCCGGTAGCCCAGTGGGTATAGCACTGGGCCTGGAGTCAGGAAGACCCGAGTTCACATCCTGACCTCGGACACTTACCAGTTGTATGGCCTTGGGCAAGTCTGTCTGCCCCAATTTACTCATTCATAAAATGAGGACTAATAAAATTAATTAATTAATAAAATTAATAAAATCCCTCCCAGGATTGTTGTGAGGATAAAATGAGATAATATTTGTAATGGAAAGAAGGAAATGCGCATTTCCTAACCTCCTGCTATGTGCCTGGGACTGTGTTAAGCACTTTGCAAATGTTGTAAAGCACTTTGTGAATCTTCGTGCTAAAATATTAGTTATCATTATTATTTATTATTAATTATCTTATGAATGTGAGAGGAAGATCTAAGATGAAAAAGTTTTAGCAGTGGTAGAGAGTTGCAAAAGGAATGGTGGGAAGGGAGCAGAAAAAGATAAGGAGTGGGAGAAGGATAGAACTGAGTTATCTGTGGGGAGAGGCACAGTGTTACCACTTTCGCTGTTGATTTTGCTGCTGCAGCTGTTAAAGTCTGAGCTGGGCCCTGAGCTAGGTGGCATTATACGTGTGCAGTCTAAGATGGTGGAAAAGAAAAGAGCCCCTTGGGAGGCCAGGAGGGTCAATAGACCTTGGGGGGTGGCAGCCCAGGGGCCAGGGGTGTTGGTGTTTTGTGCAAAAGCCCAGCCACCCTATGCTACTTTCATCTCTCTGTCTCTGTCTCTGTCTCTCTCTCTCACACACACACACACCCTTTATCTTCATACCTTCCAAATACGTAGCAAGACATGAACTGTTTTTTAGAATTATACATCAGAAGCTTTCTTTCTTTTATGAACTAATAAATGACAAGTCCCTATAGTACAAATACAGATCCCAAAATATCTCAACCAATTAACTGAACTGGAGCATTATCAGAGCCTACACCGTTGCTCACCAATGTCTGGATTTAATACTGAACCATAATCACTTTCGAATAATGTTTTAAATAGACACCTCCATACCAAATACTTAATCTCCAGGCTACACGGTACTTCCAACTCTTGAAAAACATGCACTGCTCTGTCATATGTATACAACCCTCTGTGAATCATGGGCAAGTCACTCTCCCACTTTGAGATCTAGATTAACCATCTGTGGAATGGGCACAATAACAATAATACCCACCCCACAGAGACAGATCTCTGGGGGAAAAATTATGTAAGACACATTTTTAAGTTTAATGTGTACTATAAGCATTTTCTCCATCACTTTCTTAAATCTAAACCAGTGGTGTCAAACTCAAATAGAAATAGACAGGGCAGCATATTGACTTAGAAAATCACAAATTAACATTATCTATATTTTATCATATTTTTATTTATTTTATTAAACATTTCACAATCACATTTTAATTTGGCTAGGGAGCAACCAGTGAGTTTTGCAGGGCCTGCAGCTGCTACCTCAGTTTGGATACTTCTGGTCTAGACAAGTAGCAAAACAATAAATATAGTCCTAATTTGTAGTTTTTGCTTATTTCAAAGGAGTAAATACTCATACTGAAAATTTAATAGTCAGCTCTGGTATGAGCTGGTTCCAGCACACCATTGATCAGTCTCTTTCACAGTGGCATGGATAGTTATAGTACCCATCCCACAGAAATTGAATGGGTTGTACTGAAGGGTTTGGTGTGTACTTAAAAAAAAAAAAGTAGGATGAAGCTTGCATTTCACAGTGAGGGAGCGGCCAAAAGGAACACGTGTTTCATCTTTCCTTGATGAAAAGGCCATGGTCATGAACGGGTGAGGACCTGTTGGGTAGGGGCATCACCAGCTCCAGATTTGGTAGAATCTGAGACGTCCCTCTCAAACTTAAGCTCCAGAATCCTGTTAGGGGCTGACAACCAGCTGACCTCACCCTCAAGGTTGGAATGTATTTGCATATTAATGACCAATAGTACAGTGAGAAGCCAGAGCACAGGAAAACTGAGCCACAGGAATGATGATAATAATTGAATAGTGTAAGCTATTATTATTATTATTACCACCTAGCTAATAGTGTTAGCTATTATTAAATAGCTAATGCTTGCATAACAATTTAAAATTTGCAAAGCTCTTTACGTGTGTCCTTTGATTTTCACAACAACCCTATGAGATAGATGCTATTTTTATCCCCATTTTACAGATGGAGAAACTGAGGCAAATAGAGGCGGTTGTTTGTTGTTGTTTTTTTAAGTGACTTGCCTAGGGTCACATAGCTAGTAAGTGTCTGAGACTACATTTGAACTCAGGTCTTCCTGACCCCAGGCCCAATGCTCTCCTTTTACAGATGAGGAAACTGAGGCAAATAGAGGTTAAGTGACTTGCCCGAGGTCACACAGCTAGTGTCTGAGACCACATTAGAACTCAGGTCTTCCTGAGCCCAGGGCCAGTGCTCTATCTACTGCTCCACCTAGCCACCTACTGTGGCCTGTCTGCCCCTCTCTGCAGGTCTGTTTAGCTTGTACCTCTGTGCGGGTCCTCATTGCTTTGTTCAGCTGCTCCCAGGAGTCCTCGATGCGGCTCCTTTGAGCCTGAATCTTGGGGTAGCAGCTGGGGGCTGCTTGTTCCAGGTTGCCAGCCAGCTCGAGAAAGCCCTGAATCTTGGTTGGCCCCAAGGTCTGTACTTCCTTTTGGAAAGCATGGAACTTCTCTTCCAGTACCTGCAAGCGTAGGACCCAGAATTCCATCTTCCCTCCCTGTATCTTTGCCCTGCCTAGAACGTGCCCCCTCCTCCCCTCTGCCTCTTAGAATCCTGGTTTCCTTTCAGGCTCAGCTCAAGCACCACCTTGGACATTAAACTCTTAATCTCTACAGCTGAGGTCCTGGAGAGCAAGGACTATCTTTTACATACAGTAGGCACTTAATAAATGTTTATTGACTGGCTTGACATCTAGTGTAACCCTCCTACTTTATAGATGATGAAGCTGGGACCCAGAGAGGTAGTAATTATCAGAGCTAGGATCTGAACTCTGGTTTCCAGTACCCTCACCCCACAAATCAACTTGTATCTGCTTTGCATATACATATATAACCCATATCAAATTGTCTACCGTCTTAGGGAGGGGGGAGGAAAGGGAGGGAGGAAGAAAACTTGGAAGCCAAAATTTTATTAAAAATGACTGTTAAAAATTATCTTTATATGTAATTGGAAAAAATAAAATACCATTAACAATTTTTTTAATGTGTTTTACATATAACCTATCTAAGAACATAGGGTTGCCAGATTCTCAAGGGCACAGACTACTTACTTTTGTCTAACACAGAGCATGGCCCTAAAGAAATATCTCAAGACTGAATGATCCAATGACTGATTGAGGGAAGGACACCCCACCCACCCCGATAGTATTCCCACTACACCTGCAGCCCAGTGGCACAGGAGAATCTTGGCTGGGCCTGGCCGTCCCTTCATTAATTAATCAGCCCTGGCCCTAGAACACTCAACACGCAGAGCCAGGGATTCCCTCCCCACATCCTGGGGTCCTTTCCCTCCTTGTGCCTTCTTTCCTCACCATACAGTCACCCCGCCCCCCCCTTTTCATCTCTCATCAGGATAGCACGTTGTCACAAGGACTGTGCAGAAGTCACCTTGACATCCTCCAGGTCCTGCCCGTAGTCTTGGGACTCAGCTGTGGCCCGCTTGTCTGACAACCAGGTATCCAGAAGCTGGGCCTCCCGCTCCAGCTGAAAAAGGTGCTGCTGCTCTTGTAGGCATCGCTCCCAGCCCTTGGCCTTCTGCAGTAACCCCTTGTGGGTCTCCCTCAGAGTTTGTAGATGGGTCAGCGCTTTAAGGCTAGGAATAAGAAGAAGGGTCAGCTGGGGTCATCTTGAAGATGGCATCTTTTCTTTCTTTTTTTGTTTTGTGAAAAAAATTGAAGTTAAATGGCTTGTCCAGGGTCATGCAGCTAGTAAGTATCTGAGGCCAGATTTGAACTCAAGTCTTCCTGACTCCAGGGCTGGTGCTCTATCTACTGCACCACTTTGCTGCCCCTGGCATTCTTTCTTCAACACTCGCCTCGCCTCGTGTGCTTATTATCCATGTGGCTTTGGGTTTTTTTAATCCCTGGGACGCAGTTTTTTCATTTGTAAAATGAAGGGTTTATTGAACTAAATGGCCTCGAGTCCCTTCCAGCTCTAAGGTTCTGATCCTACAATCTTATGATGACCTCTGCTGGTTGAGTCCAATTTCTTAGCCATCTCCTTGGCTTATATTTACTCACCTTTCTCCTCTCTGCTATCTTGCTTACCTGTCTGGGTTGGGTCTGCCCTTTAGGCTGGTGCCTGTCTCCTGCAGCTTCTCAAGCCGAGGGTAGAATCCTTCCAGGTCCTTCCTTGTGGCCTCTAGCCTCCGCAGCATGGCCCCAGTGGTCTCCTCATTTTGCCCCAGCTCCTCGTTGTCCAGGAGAAGGCCTTGTTCAGACAGCCAGGATTCTGCCTCGAGGAGCTGAGGAGTAATTCAGTGAGATTAGATTATTGTTCTTAGGGATTTCAGCGGGAGAAAAATTCAAAGGGAGAGAAAGAGTAAGTATAGCCTTATCTTTGAGGAGGGGAGCTAGGTAGTGCAGTGGATAGAGACTGGGCTTGGAATTCATCTGCCTGGGTTCAAATCCAGGCTCAGACACTTACTAGCTGTGTGACCCTGGATAAGTCACTTAATCTTGTTTACCTCAGTTTCCTCATCTGTCAAATGAGTTGGAGAAGGAAATGGCAAATCTCTCCAGTATCTTTGCCAAGAAAACCCCAGATGAGGTCATGAAGAGTCAGACGCAACTGAACAACAACAAAATCTTTGGGGAGCACGCCAAGGAGTTATAAAGGAGAGCTCCAGAGTAAATGAGGGGCTTAGAGTTCCCTTGGGCTCTAAATTTATGATCCTATAATCTAATGTGGTTTATCTCAAAATCCCAGGTCCCTCCTCATTCCTTCTCCTCCTGCCATCTCTCACCCTTCTCACCTCTGTCAGAAACTGCCGGGCCTCATGAACTTGCTGAAGCCTCCATCGTCTCTGCTCTGCCCCACCCTGAAGTCTGCCCATTGCAGTTTTCAGCTGCTGAAGCCGGGCAGCCACCTCACTGGCAGCAAAATGCCCCCCCTGGACTAGCTTGTGACCTGTGTCCAGTACCACCTGGGCCAGAGCCTCATGGCTGCTGATCTCATCTTCCAAGTTCTGTAAGTTCAAAACAAGGGGACTTTAGAAGTCCATGAATCCTCATAGCTCCCCAACACACAAGAACCCACAGATATGTTCCCAAAGACTTTGTCACACCCAAATAGTGATGTTAAGAATTCCTTGCCCTATTCCATTAAAGGTCTCATGGCATGGTTGATAGAAAGCTGAGCTCGAAGTATAGAAGACCTGGGTTCAAATGCTACTTCTGAAAGCAGGGCTGTGTGACCCTGGGCAAGTCACTTAACCTTTTTGTGCTCTAAGCAACTAAGACTACGAGTTACAGAGAAGGTGCCAACCTATATTAGTAGAGGGAATTTCCTCACTCGGGAGTTCCCTATACCAATAAAATTACAGGTCTAGTCCCTGTTCCATATTGCTTCCCTTAGTGCTAGCATGAGAGGTAAGATGGTATAATAGAAAGAGTTTGTATTTACAGGAATTTAGTTTTGAATCCTAGGTCTCCAATGCTACCATTGGCAGTGGGGGTGGGGTGGTATGAGATGAGTGTAAGGAAAGGAGAGAGCAGAAGAGCTGGGTGGGTCAATTAAATTCAACAAACATTCCTTAAGCCCCTACTCCCTATGTGTCAGATACTGGGGTAGAAAAGACAAAAACGAAAACATTCCCTGCCCTCAAGGAGCTTACATTCTACTGATGACCTTGGGCAATTCAGCCTCTCTGGGTCTTAGTTTCTCCATCTATAAAATGAAGGGACCTGGACTGATCTCTATGATCCCTTCCAGCTCTAAATCTAGGATGCTCCGAATTCCCCCTAGAGCTTGAACCTAGCTGTGGAGGTCAAATATCCCTCATCATCCCTCCCCCAACACACAAGTACTCTTTTCATTTCCCAGAGAGGTTGCCGCCTACCTGGTGCTTTTCTTGCAGTTGCTGAATAGCATTCAAGGTCTGTCCATAATCCTGGGCTGTAGCCAAAGGCAGCTTCTCCTGCACCCAAGCCAGCTCATCCTCTACATCTTGGAAGAACTGGTATAGAAGGCTCTTGGCTTCTAGGGTCCCCCGGCGCTCCTGGAGGGATTCCCTTAGATTAGTGTACCTGGCATGGGACAGCCACCAAAGACAGTGGGGGTGAGGAAGGGAGAGATAGCAGAAGACCTGGAAAGTTGGCGTTGGAAGAAGAAACACTCAAACTCAACCTGCCTCAAAACAGAAGTTATCTTTCTCCACAAATCCTCCCTTCTTGCCCGCTTCCCTATTTCTCCCAAGGGCACTACCAACCTTCCAGTTCCCTGGGCTTGAAACCTTGGTGTATCACCCTTAACTCCTCACTCACAGTTACAACACATACGCCACCTATTAATGAGTTTTATTATTTCACCTTCAAACAACACCTCTGACATGCTTTCTCACCACTCACATAATGCCACTCTCTTGGACTAGTGCCCAAGCCTGCGGCTGTCCCTGCCACAAGTCTCTCTCCATTCCAAATCATTGTCCACTCAGCTGCCAAAGGAATCGTCCTAAAGCACAGGGCTGACCACGCTCAGCCTGGCCCCTCATTTCCTCTACTGAGAAAACTCTCCTGGCTCCCTACCATTTCCAAGGCCAAATAGAAAATCCTCTCTTTGGTATTTAAAGCTCTTCACAACTGGCCCCTTCCTACCTTTTCGGTCTTTTATCCCTAATTCCCCTCTATGTATTATATACTTCAGCAACGTAGGCCTTTTTGCTGTTCTTTCCATAAGACATTCCATCTCCTGACTGTACCTACACACTGGCTGTCCCCCAAACCTGGAAATGCTCTTCCTCATTGTGTCTGCCTCCTGGCTGCCTCGGCTTTCTTTGGGTCTCAGCTCAAACCTCACCTTCTAAGCAGGAGCCTTTCTTGGTCCTCCCCTCATCCCTCAATTCCTTCCCTCTGAGATTACCTTCCACTGACCCTATACATATCTTGTGTGTATACTTTTTTTTTTCAAGTTTTCTTTCCCATTAGAATGTAAGCTCCCTGAGAGCAGGGACTGTTTTTGCCTTTCTTTGTATCCTCAGTGCTTAGCACAGTGCCTGGCCTATAGCAAGTGCTTAATACATACTTATTAACTGACAGAAATGAGAGACGGCCTGCAAAGAGAGAGATGAATGGGGACCCGAGGGAGATCAAACCTAAGGTGGGGTTCTCTTAAGACACTTCCCTTCCGGGAAGGAAAAAGTAAAAGCTGAAAAGGATGAGAGTGAGGCAAGAGAGGAAGCCTGGAGTGCAAGAGCCATAGGACACGGAAGGGGGATACTGCCTACCTCTGTAGCAGGCGCTGGGCCTGCTCTTCGGCCTCCCCAGCTCTGAAGTGACCTCCACAGCCAAGGGCCCGGGCCTGGTCCATCAGTGCCTGCACAGCTCCCACCTGGCCCTCCATGGCTGCCTCCAGCTCTGCCTGGGTGGCCAGCAGCTCCTGCACACCTGCTAAGGCCTGTCCACCCAGGGGAGCCCGAAGCTCCTCTTCCAGGTTCTCCAGCCACCTTTCCACCTCCTCCGCTTTCCTCTGGAAACGCAGGGCCTTGGGGGAGAGGAGAGTGTAAATGGGGTATGAGAGGAAGGGGAGGAGGTCCCCTTTCACCATGCCCTCTGGTTAGCCCCTGGCCCCCACCTCCACCTCCAGGCCCCATCACCACCTTATAAGCATCCTGTAATTTGGTTCCCTTCTTGAGGCAGTTGGCCTGCAGCTGACTCCAGAGATCTCCTATCTCTTGTAGCCGCTCCTGAACGGTCTCCAGGGCAGGGTGCCCCTCCTTCAGCAGTTTCTCCCCTTCCTGAAGCCAAAGAGAAGAGTTTACCCACCTTTTGGCCCGGGTGGGGGTGGGGTAGGGATGGTGGCAGAGAGCTGGAATTAACCCCAAGAGCTAGCTGGCACACCTCTGCTTGGGGCGGTGGCAGTCTGTCTGCCTCTTCTGTGGCTGGATCCGGGAATGCTCTTCCTCCTCACCTCTGTCACCTCTGCCTCCTGGCATGCCCAGCTTTCTTCAAGACTTGGCTCTAATGACATCTCCCACAGGGCTCCCCTTGCTGCTGGGGACTTCCCTTCTAAGGTTACCGTCCACCCACCCTGTATGAATCTTATATGTACCTAATTATTTATACGCTGGGCTCCCCCAGCCCCACAATGGAACGTGAGCTCCTGGGAGGCAGGAACTGTTTATGCCTTTCTTTGCATATCCAGCACTTAGCACAGTGCCTGGCACATAGCAGGTGCTTAATAAATTTTTGTTGTTTAGTCCTTTAGTCATGTCCAACTCTTTTTTTGTTGTTATTGTTGTTGTTGTTTTTTTTTAGGCAACTGGGGTTAAGTGACTTACCCAGGGTCACACAGCTAATGTGTGTTTGGTCTGAGTGTTTGGTCTGAGGCCGGATTTGAACTCAGGTCCTCCTGACTCCAAGGCCAGTGCTCTATCCACTGCACCATATAGCTACCCCCTCGCCACGTCCAGCTCTTGATGACCCCATTTGGGGTTTTCTTACTAGATGGTTTGCAATTTCCTTCTCTAGCTCCTTTTACAGATGAGGAAACTGAGGTAAACAGGGTAAAGTGACTTGCTTAGGGTCACACAGCCAGTAAGTGTCTGAGGCCAGATTTGAATTCAGGTCCTCCTGACTCTAGGCCCGGCACTATATCCACAGCTTAATAAGTACCTGTTGACTAATTGTCAACTAATAGGGTGACTCCGAGTACCCCATCTGGCCAATGTCCCTGCATCTGTTCTGGAGCTGTATCGCTTCACTCATTCAACAAGCATTTATTAAGCACCTACTGTATGCTAGGCACTACCAGGTGTTGACTAGTATGGGGAGAGAGACACATATGCATGAACAAAATATAGTAATTCTTTTTTTGATAATTAATTTATTTAGTTTTAGTTTTGAACCTTCACTTCCATAAGATTCTGAGTTTTAAATTTTTTCCCCTTCCCACTCCTTCCCTCCCCACCAAGACGGTGTACAATCTGATATAGGCTCTATATATACATTCATGTTAAGCATATTTTCCCATTAGTCATGATCAAAATACAGTAATTCTTAAAATGAAGTAGTTCTGGAACCACAGTGGGGAGACCAAGGATAAAAGGAAACAGTCCTTGTCCTTGGAGGGGTTAACATGTGCACAGATATGTCAAAACAAAATATACACCAAATGACTATGATGTAATTTTTTTAGGAAGGGGCACTAACAACGGGGGGTGGGGGTGAGGAAAAGCCTTGTGTGGGATGTCGTCTTGAGTTGAGCCTTGAAGGAAGCTAAAGATTCCAAAAGGTGGAGTCAAAGTGGAAGGAAACTAGAGATTCCAAAGGTGGTTGGTAGGGGACACAGCCTGGGCAAATGTGTGGAGAGAGGAAATGGAATAATACATAAATATTATGAACGTGTAAAAATATCTCAGATAAACTGGTTGAAATGAAGAGTGTGTAAGGGGAGTAATGTGAAATGAGGTAGGCTGAAGTCAGACTGTGAATGCCTTCAGGTATTATAGCTAAAAAGTGGGTCTTAAATCCACCATGACCCAGGTACAAGACCCGCCTCTTTCATATACCAGTTATATAACCCTGGGCAAGTCACCTAACCTCTCGTTGCTCTGGGCAATTTCCTAATACTATGAGTTGCAAAGAAGGCACCAATAAGCATTTGGTAAAGGGGATTTCCTCCTCTGGAAGTTCTGTATGGAATATCAGATGAGATACTATTTGTAAAGGGCTTAGCACAGTGCCAGGCACATAGTATGCAATTGAAAAGTGCTTCTTCCCCCCCCCCCCCCCATATTAATATGTCTTCATAGTAAGTTTGTTTGCCCAGGGGTATTGACTGGGGGCCCCTGGGACGCCCTTCTCTATTCCCCTCCCTCCAACACTGTCTAACCGTCCTGCCTCCTCTTTCTGAGATTCATCGACCCTCCCTTTGAGACAGAGCGGAGAGGCAGCGTGGAGTGGAGACAGAGCCAGCAAGACCTGAGGTCAAGTCCTGACTCTGACACGTGTTGGCATGTAACCCTAAGGCAGTCAGAGTTCAGCCCCGCTGGCGACTCTCTAAGACTGAGTCACAAAGAAGGTGCCAGCCTGCGTCGGGTGGAGGAGAGGGTTCCCTCGATCACCAGATCACCGGAACTGCTGAAGCTTCTAGGACAGAGTCAGGCCTAAGCTTTAGGAATATTTATTTGGCAGCTGTAGAGAGAATGCATTGGTGGCACAGCGGATAGAGCACCAGCCCTGGAGTCCGGATGATCTGAATTCAAATCCAGCTTCAGACGCTAGCTGTGTGACCCTGGACAAGTCACTTAACCCCGATTGCCTCCAAAAAAATGCATTGGAGAGGGGAAGAGACTAGAGGCTATTGTACTAGTCCCTGAACTAAGCGGGGTAGTGGTTGTGTGAGTGGGCAGAAGGTGTGGACATAAGAGATATTGTGGAGTTGGAATCAACAAGACTTACTGATTGGATATGGAGGGGCAGCTAGGTAGGCAGTGAGCCTGGAGTCAGGAAGACCTGAGTTCAAACCTGGCCTCAGACACTTACTAGCTGTATGACCCTGGGCAAGTCATTTAACCCTGTTTGCCTCAGTTTCCTAATCTGTAAGATGAACTGGAGAAGGAAATGGCGAACCACTCGAATATCTCTGCCAAGAAAACTCCAAAATGGAGTCAGGAAGAGTTGGACGTGACTGAAATAGCCGAACAACAACAGATATGGGAGACAGGGGAGAGTAAGGAGATAAGAATGATTCTGAGGTTGTGAATCTGGGGAACTGGAAGGATGGGAGTGCCCTTGACAGAAAAGGGAAGTTCTGGGGGGAAATCATAGATGATTGTAGATGTGGAGCTGAAAGAGACCTTCCGGGCCATCGAGGCTGACATTAAAATATCAGTGAGGAAACTGAGGGTATGTAGAGGTTAAATAGCTTGCCCCAAGGTCACACAGTTACTCAGTGTGTGAGGCAGGGCTTGAACTCAGGTCTTTCTGACTCCAAGTCCATCATTCTACTCCCTGGGCCACCCAACTGTATAAAACATCATTTTGGACATGTTGGGTTTGATACGCTTGTAGCAGTCTAATCAGAGACATCCGACAGGTGGTCCAGGGCAAGTCTATGGGGCTCCGACAGCTCTGGCAGCCTACAGTCTGCCGGTATCCCATCCTCACCAATACACGTGTCCTTTCCCTGGGAGCCCTTACCGTTTGCAGTTTCTGAAGCTGGGTAACATTGGCGTCCAGCTCGGCCTGAAAGCTCTGGTGCTTCTGCAGCTGGGCCTGCAGGGTGCTGGCGTCCCGCCAACCTTCATCTAAGGCCACAAGGTTCTTCTCACCCAGCCACATGGACACCTGAAGAAGAGGAAGAACAAGGAGCTTTAGGGACCTGCTGCCATTCTCATTCCCTGCCTTCTAACAGAGATATCCGTGTCCGCCCTTAAACAGGGGAATCCTGTCCTGGGGGATGATTCATAGATCTAGAATGAGCTTAGAAGAATTAAAACTAGATTCATAGATCCAGAATGAGCTTAGAAGAATTAAAACTAGATTCATAGATCTAGAATGAGCTTAGAAGAATTAAAACTAGATTCATAGATCTAGAATGAGTTTAGAAGAATTAGAATTAGAGGGGCAGCTAGGTAGCGCAGCGGATAGAGCACAGGTCCTGGAGTCAGGAGGACCTGAGTTCAAATTTGACCTCAGACACATAATATCTCCTAGCTGTGTGACTCTGGGCAAGTTACTTAACCCCAATCGCCTCACCAAAAACAAAACAAAACAAAAAAACGAAAACAAAAATGAATTAGGATTACAGATGTAGCATGAGCTTAGAATAATTAGATTCATAGATCTAGAATGAGCTTATGAGAACTGGATTCATAGATCTAGAATGAACTTAGAAAAGTTAGAATTAGATTCATGGATCTAGAATGAGTTCAGAAGAATTAGATTCGTATCCTCAATTGATAAATGGTCAAAGGATATGAACAGGCAGTTTTCAGAGGAAGAAATTAAAGCTATTTTTAGTCATATGAAAAAATGCTCTAAATCACTATTGATTAGAGAAATGCAAATCAAAACAACTCTGAGGTACCACATCATACCTATCAGATTGGCTAACATGACAAAACAGGAAAATGATAAATGTTGAAGATGTGGGAAAATTGGAACACTAATGCATTGCTGGTAGAGTTGTGAAATGATCCAACCATTTTGGAGAGCAATTTGGAACTACGCCCAAAGGGCTATAAAAAATGTGCATACCCTTTGACTCAGCAATAGCACTTCTAGGGCTCTATCTCAGAGAGATCATACAAATGGGAAAAGGACCCACATGTACAAAAATATTTATAGCAGCTCTTTGTGTGGTGGCAAAGAATTGGAAATTGAGGGGATGCCCATCAATTGGGGAATGGCTGAAGAAGCTGTGGTGTATGAATGTAATGGAATACTATTGTGCTGTAAGAAATGATGAGCAGGCAGACTTCAGAAAAACCTGGAAGGACTCATATGGACTGATGCTGAGTGAAGTGAGCAGAACCAGGAGAACCTTGTATACAGTAACAGCCACCTTGTGTGATGACTGACTTTGATAGATTTAGCTCTTCTCAGCAATGCAAGGATCTAAGACATCTCCAAAAGTCTCATGATGGAAAATGCTCTCCACATCCAAAGAAAAAACTATGGAGCTTGAATGCAGATCAAAGCATACTATTTGCTCTTTTTTTCCTTCTGTTTTGCTTTGTTTCTTCTTTCTTGTGGTTCCTACTATTGGTTCTAATTCTTCTTTACAACATGACTAATGTGAAAATATGTTTAATAGGAATGTATATGTAGAGCCTATATCAGATTGTGTGCTATCTTGGGAAGGCAGGTAGGGAAAGGGGGAGAAAATTTAAAACTCAGAAGCTTATGGAAGTGATTGTTGAAAACTAAAAATATATAAATTAATTAAAAGATAAAAAAAATTAGATTCATAGGTCTAAAATAAGCTTAGGAGAATTAGTCATAGGTCTAGAATGAGTTTAGAAGAATTAGAGTCAGATTCATAGATCTAAAATGAGCTTAGGAGAATTAGATTCATGGATCTAGAATGAGTTTAGGAGGATTAGATTCAAAAGTCTAGAATGAGCTTAGAAAAATTAGAATTATATTCATAGATACAGAATGATTTTAGAAGAAGTAAGGTCATAGATCTAGGATGAGCTTAGAAGATTTAGAATTAGATTCATAGATCTAGAATGAGCTTAGGAGAATTAGAGTAATAGATCTAGAATAGTTTAGAAGAATTAGAATTAGATTCATAGACCTAGAATGAGCTTAGAAGAATAAGAATTAGATTCATAGCTCTAGAATGACTTTAGAAGAATCGGAATTAGATTCATAGATCTAGAATGAGCTTAGAAGAATTAGACTCATAGATCTAGAATGAGCACTCTAGGCCAACCTCTTCATTTTGCAGAGAAGGAAACTGAGACCCAGGCAGGTTAAGTGACTTGCCCAAGGTCATACACAAGCATCAGAGGCCAGATTTGAACCCAGAGCCGGTGTTCTTTCCACTATACTCCAGGTTTCTTAGTGAGGTAGCTCCCTCGCCATCTCTGCCTCCCACTGCCACCCAGAGCCTGGTAGGACCAGACTTGGCCACTGTATGTAAGGAAGAGAAAAATCATCGAACCTCACAGCAGTCCTGCAGGAATCTCTGTAGCTGCTGGAATCCCTCTAGCTGGTGCCGTCGGGCCTGGATACTCTCCAGCAGCTTCTCCTTTCTGTGAAGGGAGGCACCGTGGGTGATAAAGCTATTCTCTGGGGGCCCAGGGTCAGGAAGGGCAATGGTCTGTGTTATATTATGTAAGAGCACCCTCTGGCATCACTGGGAAGAAATGCCTTGCATAGCTTTCTTTATGAAAAACAAAACAAAGCACTAAGCCTGGAATCATAGAATTTCAGAGTTGGAAGGGACATAGTGGTCATCTAATCCAACCCACACCGGGGAAATTTCACGTTTATCCCAGTTAAATTTCTTTTTAAATAAAAGGCTCATTTCTGTTGATAGCCTTTATTTTTATATAGCCTTAATTTCTGAATATATCCTTTCCCCCTCCTCTACCCAATGAGCCATCCCTTGTAACAAAGGACCAAAGAGGAAGATGGAAGGAAACATTCAGCAAAGAAATCTGACAGTGTATGCAACATTCCACACCCATAGCCTCCCACCTCTGCAAACAAGGAAGATAGGCGTGTTTTCTCATCCCTTCTTCAAGCCAAGCTTGGTCACTGTAATCATACTATGTTCAGTTTGGGACATTGCCCCCCCCCCCCACTTCTTTCCTTCAATTTACCTTGTTGTAAGCATCATGTATACCATTTTCCTGGCTCTGCTAAATTTCACTTTCTTAGATGCCATCATATACCTAGCCTTCCAAGAGCTCTTTTTGTATTTCCTCTAAACATTGATAAATCTTAATTCAATCTTTTGTATATCTGCAATAGGGGTTGGGCACGTGCACAGATGCTGCCTAGTATACTTCATCGGGAAATGCCACCTGAGCGAGTGGATGGGTTCTGTGCATGTCACCCATTACACGTCACAACCACCCATCAGGCAACCACCCTGGCAGGCCTTCTTCTCTCTCTAGGCTGCAAAAGAGAGACGAGGACCCTGGGACTAGATGTCCTCCTGGAAGGAGAAGAGAGAAAGCACTTATACAGGGCCCTTAGAATTCCTCCCTGTGGGGCAGCCAGGCTGTACAGTGGATAGAGTGCAGGACCTGGAGTCAGGAAGACTCATCTTCATGAGTTCAAATCTGGCACCAACCACTTACTAGCTATGTGACCCTGGCTAAGTCATTTAACCCTGTTTGCCTCAGTTGCCTTGTCTGTAAAATGATCTGGAGAAGGAAATGGCAAACCACTCCAGTCTCTTTGCCAAGAAAATCCCAAATGGGGTCATGAAGAGTTGGACATGACTATTTTCCCTCCCCCTCATTTCACAGATCAAACCAAATCTCAGAAAAGTAAGATCAGTTGCCCAAGATCACACCGAGAGTAAACAGAAGAGCTGGGCTTCAAACCCCATTTCTATTAACTCCAAAGCCATCGCTCTTTCCATGCACCCTACTGCCTCTTATATTCATCTCTCCAAAATGAGCACAGCCCATCTTCCTGGAGTCAGGAAGAACCGAGTTCAGATTCGGCCTTACACACTTTACCATCTGTGTGACCCTGGGCAAATCACTTAATCCTGTTTGTCTCAGTTTCCTCATCTGTAAAAAGAGCAGGAGAAGGAAATGGCCAACCGCTCTAGTATTTTTGCCAAGGAAACCCCAAATCAGGTCATGAAGAGTCAGACGTGACTCAAACAACTGAGCAACAAAAATCCTCATATGTAAAATGAGAGCATTGTGACTGGGGTCAGGAAGACCTGAGTTCAAATCTGGCCTCAAACACTTACTAGCTGTGTGACCCCAGGCAAGTCACTTAACCTGGTTTGCCTCAGTTTCCTGATCTGTAAAATGAGTTGGAGAAGGAAGTCTAGCATACAATAGGCACTTAATTAATGCTTATTTCCTTCTCCTACTATTGTAGTTCCTAAATCAAGGACCTTTGTCCAGTATATCATACTGTTTTTTTTTTCCTTAGAGTTCCCAGGCCCAGTGCTTCTTAGAATTAAGAACAAAAACGGCTCTTAGGAAACATAAAGAAGGTCTATATGCTTGCTTCAGAGACAGCAGAGGGAATGGCAAAATCTAGAGACTAGTTCTGTACCACAGAAAGTCTCACCAGAAGCAAGAACATAAGGAGGAGGGGGAAGGAAGGCAGGAATGACCCTCCACAGAAGAAAGCTGGCCAGGGATAGGAAGCAGGCCTCAGACTGAGAAGTGTCATCAAGGGTTATCTTTATAAATGATAATAATAACTAGCATTTACATAGCACTTTAAGCTAAATAAATAAACACTTGGTAGTTAGGTTAGAATCCTGGACCTGGAGTCAGCAAGACCTGAGTTCAAATCCAGCCATAGATACTTACTAGTTATGTGATGCTGGGCAAGTCACTTAACCTCTATCTGACTCAGTTTCCTCAACTATAAAATGGCAATAAAAATGGCACCTACTTTGAAGGGTTGTTGTGAGGATCAAATGAGATAATATTTGAGGAAAAAATGCTTAGCACAGTGCCTGACACATAGTACTGGTAATGTAAATACTTATCTTCCTTCCTTCCTTCCTTCCTTCCTTCCTCCCTCCCTTCCTTATTTTAAGATTTGCAAAGGGTTTTACACATGCTCTCCTCCACCCCCTCTAAGATACTCTGCGATCTAGCCACACTATCACACCACTTCAAGACCCATCTACACTGACTTACTAACAATTCCTCAGATACAACAATCCATCTGGTATCTGTGTATCTGCACTGGCTTTTCTCCATTCATGGGATGCTTTCTCCACCCTCACTTGGGCCCCTCAGTATCTCTGGCTTCCTTAAAAACCCTGATAAAATCCCACCTTCTGTTCACCTTTTCTGGCCCCTCCTCACTCCCAGGCTGAGCTTTGATCCCTCTGAAATCACTTTTCTATATATAGTTTGTAAATAAATAGTTATTTGCATGTTGAGTATCCCATTAGAATGGAAGCTCCTTGAGCTCAGCGCCTGTAAGTACTCAGTGCCATGTAGAAAGTACTTAACAAATGCTTGTTGTCTGACATATACATGTTTTATTATTTTTCTTTTTTCTTTTGAAAGCAATTAGGGTTAAGGGACTTGCCCAGGGTCACACAGCTAGTGTCTGAGGCTGGTTTTGACTCCAGGGCTGGTGCTCTAACCATTACACCGCCAAGCTTCCCCATGTATAAGTATTTTTCAAAGGTGTGTCTATATAGCAGTAAATAATATAGTTCTGGGGAATGACCCATGACAGACAGCTGGAGAGATGAAGTTCAAAGGGGGTGACCAAGGACAGGACATTGATCATTCCTGCCTAGGATTCTGTTCTAACACCCACACAAATTCAACCTATGGAACATCAGTGCCCAGATTTCTGGCTACCATCATCCCAGAACTCCAAGAAAACTCACCCATTGGTGGCCCACTACACCTAAGGGATACCTTGAAAGCACCAGTTGGCATTTGTTGGTGATACACCGGGCCTCTGGGTGTTGGCTCTGATTCAGGTTTAGTGCCATGATTTCCATAGTGCTGATCTTCTCCAGTTGGGTCTCTAGCCCCTTCTCAAACTGTTCATGTTTCCACTGTAAGGTCTCCACGGTGGCCAAGGAATTCTAGGAGGGACAGTTGAGAATATCCCGATTTAGTCCAATATACCTTTCACCTGCCCAGCAATCATTCACCCTACCGAACGGTCATCACTCAATGCAACTATCCTGCTCAAAGAAGCATGGCCTCCAACTCTTAGTTTCCATTCTTCAGTTGCTTCTGCTCTGTAAAGTCTTTCATAATTTCCCCAGTTGTTAAAGCTTTCTCCCTCCTCAAATTATCTTATATTTACTTACCTTTCTAAGTATTCTTGTATTCCTTTCTCCCCTCATAGTAAGGACCTGGAGGACATGGCCTATTTTTTTTTCTTTATATCCTCAATTCCTGGCCAAGTGTCTTGCATATAGTAGGTGCTTCTTTGTAATTGAATTTGTTGACTTGGCTTCATTCGATTTAAGGGTAAGGGTGGAAAAGTTGCTTTCTTGGTACTCATAACTGGCATCTCTCTCTGTTTCATCCCTGTAGGACTATGTCTCCTTCACCAAGTTCCCAGGTCTACCTCAGGCTGCCTTTAAATGCCACCTCTGACATTTACTAGCTTTATTTATCCCCTGACCCTTAATATCCTCATTTATAAAATGGGGATGATAATACCTATAGTATCAATAGTATAAACAGCTTGACTTAGGGAGTAGAAAGCTGGCCTTGGAGCTAGGAAGATCTGGATTCAGATTTTGCCTCTGACACAAACTGGCTATGTGACCCCAAGAATGTCCTTTAACTTCTCAGTTCCCCAAACAACTCTTTAAGACACTGAATAGCAGAGAAACTGCTGGTCTACATGGCTGGGGAAATTCTTTACCTGAAACTCCCTACACTGATGAAACCAATGGTCTGGGCTTATAAAAAAAAAGTGCCTCTCTCATTGGGTTGTTGGGAGGGCCTAATGAGATAATATATGTAAAGTGCTCTGCAAACCATAAATAGCTAGATAAATGACAATTATTTGGCTTGATACAAGGAAAAACTCCTCAATAATTAGAGCTTTCCAATGGAACCGACTTGGGAGACAGTAGGTTGTCCCTTCCTGGAGGTCTTCAAGCAAAGGCTGGATAATCATTTGTTGGATATATTGTAGAAGGAATCAAAATGATAGTAATAATGATAATAATAATAATAATAATAATAGCCAGCTTACTATATAGTGCTTACTATGTGTCAGGCATTGACATAATTTGCAATTATTATCTCATTTGATCCTCATGACAACCTTGTGAGATAGGTGCTATTATCATCTCCATTTTACAGATGAGGAAACTGAGGCAAACAGAGGTTAGGTGACTTGCCCAAGGTCATACCCCTAGTAAGTGTCTGAGTATGGATTTGAACTCATGTCTTCCTGACTCCAGGCCCAGCTGCTTTATCTACTGTACCGTATAATTGCCCTTAGGTGTGAGCTGGACTAATTGGCCTTTGAGGCCCCATCTAACTCTGGGCTTCTGAGATTCTGCTCGCTTGCTATTTGCTCCTTGAGGCAGCCATTCATTTTGCTGTTTGCCTTCTTTGTGACCCTAGAGCTTAGCATGATGTCTGGCACATAGTAAGCACTTAATAAATGCTTATGGATTGATTGATTTCTGGTCTTCACTTCATTGCTCTTCACACACTCCAAGTTCTGGTCAAACTGGACAACCAGCCATTTTCCTTACCCAGCGGCCCCTCTCCCTGTCTCCACTCAGGGTGTCCAACCCCAACTCCCAAACCTCGAATGCATCCCCTTCTGCTTTCTGACCCTCAGAATCCTTCTTTTGAGCCTCATCATACGGGCTCCTCTCCTGGGAAGCAGTAAGAAAGGATCCTTCCTTCCTTTCCAGTAGAATGTACATTCCATGGAGCCAATTCCCTCCCCATCCCCCTTCCTTGGAGGGAGCAGGGTGGGGTGCGGTTCAGTTCTGGAACCATGAAACCAGATAAAGCATTTATTAAGCACTTACTGTGTATCAGGCACATAACAGCACCTGTGTTCAAGACACTGGGCTAGGAACTGGGCAGGAGCAGACAATGAATGAATGAAAAAACATTTATTAAGCACTTACTATGTTCTGAGCCCTGTGCTGACTTAGAGGTATAGATATAATAGTAAAGATAGTCTCTAACGTTGAGGACTTAAATTAATTAATTACAATAAATAGTATTTATATAAATATATTTATAAATGTTATTTATTATATTATTTATTATTTAGTCCAATAAATATAATATTATTATAAATACATAAATATTGATATATAATAAACAATGATATATAATAAATAGTAAAATAATAAAAACATAAATAATGATAAATAAATTAATTCTTAAATTAAGAAGTGTAAAAGTATATGTTTGTCAGCTTTGAGAGATTCCAGAAAGCTGATCAATGCAATGATGAACTATTAGTACCAGAAGACCCATGATGCAACATGCTTTCCATCTCCTGACTGAGAAGTGATGGGCTCAAAATGCAGAATGAGACGTACATATTTGGACAAGGCCAATGAGCAAACTTACTTTGCTTGACTAAGCATATTTATGACAAGGGCTTTTGCTTTTCTTTTTTCTTTTTCATGGTGGGGAGGGGAAGGAATAGGAAAAAGAGAAAATTTATGAAATGAAAAAATTTTTTAAAAGAGTTTGAAAAAAATCAGATCAACTCAGTAATTGCCATTGTTCCTAGACAAAGCATATCGACCAACTTCCCCGAAGGTCTTACTCACCATCCTAATAACTTTCCAAACCAAAGTGACCCTTACTGGCCACCAATCCCCTAAATGTACCATTGTCCCTTTTAGAATTTAAGTTTCTTGAGGGCAGGGACTATCTTTGCTGTTAGATTTGTATCTGCAGGACCTAATACTGTACTTGGCACATAAGACATGCTTGAAAATGCTTTTAAATTAAATTTTGATTCATTCATTGTCTTTGTATTTCCAGGTCTTGGCCTACAAGGAGATGCTTTTATGTGCTTGGTATGCAGTAAGTGCTTAATGAATGCCTTATTTATATCAATAAAGATTTGTTGAATAACATTTATTGGTTTGGTTTGATTTGATCTGAAACACTGGGTTAGCTAATCTGTGCCCCTGTTCCCTCCCTGGGTACCTACGCCCAGATCTTCATTTGCCAGGAACGCTTCTTTGTTGTTGAGCCAACTTTCAATCTGCTCCACGGAACTCAGGAACATCTATGGGAATGGAGAAGCATTTTGGCAGAGGGTCCAGTCCCTGTAGGTAGGACCACACTTCCTATAGGTAGGTAGGGGAATAGAGGCCTGGGGACTGGCCTAGAGCCACAGATCAAGTCAGGAGTGTGAGCAGAATATAAGCCAAGAATTCTGGTTTCTACCTGGCATCTCGGGAGAGGCAAGTTGGTTGTAGCAAGGATTCAATGAAATCCTATCCAACAGTCTATCCCCTTACCCACACGAAGGGGTTTCGGTCTATGACAAGGGCAGGCATGATAACTAGGTCAGTTGCTGAGTTGGATCAGGAGAAATAGACTTGAAGGGTACTGATTAAAGCAGTTGAGAATCACTGAGAGAATCCTTGGCAAAGGAGACCGGTTGGCTTCCCTTTCCGCCACAGTGAGGAAAGGGAGGGGAGCACAGAGAGGTGCAGGTCCTGGTGGGGACTGGGAAGGTAGAGACCAGGGAAGAGATGGGCATGGAGGCTGGTTACACCCACTTGCAAATCCAAGGCCTGCTGTAGCCGGAGTCGATGTTCCTGCCAGTTCTCCTCCAGCCCAGTTAGTTCTTGCTCAAAACTGGCCAGGGCCTGGCAAACATCTGGGGCCATTGGGTGTCCGGCACCAAGCAGCTGTTTCCCAGTGCTTCGTATCAAGTCGATGCTCTCTGCCCTGGCTGATAGCTCTGCCTGTAATAGAGCAGGGCTCAGACCCTCAGGAATTCGTGGGCAGGAAGAATAAGTGGAGAGGGGTCCAGGGAAAATATAGGGCGACAAATCCAAAGGACTGAAGATGAACCAGACTACCCACTTCCTTCCAGAGAGTTGATGGATGCAGAATGAGACATGGCCAATGTGAGATTTTGTTTTGCTGAACTACGAGGGTTTTATTTTTCATTAAAAAACAAAACAAAACTGCTCAATGGGGAGGGAGGCATTGCAGGTAGTAAATGCTTGTAAAAATAAATTAGTTAATTAAAATTTTAAAAAATCATAACGGTGTGCCATATAAAATTAAGGTGGTCCCATTATTTCTCCTTGTTTAAAAAAGTGAAATGTCTTGGACTGTGTGTATGGTGGTGGTGGTGGTGGTGGGGAGCGGGGAAGAAAATGAACAGCAGCTGGGAGGGTGGCATGAACAAGGGGATTGGGGAGAGAGGACTTGGAGAAATATGGGGGATGGGAATGGCTTGAGTCAAAAATTAGTTCAGTTCAACAGTTTCAGTCATGTCTGACTGACCCCATTTGGGATTTTCTTGGCAAAGATACCAGAGTGGTTTGACATTTCCTTCTCCACTTCATTTTACAGGTGAGGAAGTGGAGGCAAACAGGGTTAAGATTTGCCTGGTTTGCTATTTCCTTCTTTGGTTCATTTTATAGATGAAGAAACTGAGGCAAACAGGGTTAAATGACTTGCCCAGGGTCTCATAGCCATTAAGCGTCTGAGGCTGGATTTGAACTCATGAAGATGAGTCTTTCTGACTCCAGGCCCAGCACTCTACCCACTGCACCACCTAGCTGCCCCCCAAAAATCAGAGGAGCTGGGTTCAAATCCCACCTCTGACATTGATTGGCTGTGTGACCTTAACCTCTCTGGGACTCAGTTTCTTCATTTGTAAAATGAAGGAGTTGGAGTAGATGACCTCTGAGGGCCCTTCTACTTCCAGATGTATGATTCCAAGCTGGGGGCAATGGTTAAGTATATGGGAAGTCGAAAGAACTGAGACGAGAGAGAAGAAGCTGGCACTGGGGCAGGGGGTGCCCACTGACCTTGAGCTCCTGGTGCTCCTCCATCATTCGTCTGGCCTCGGCAGGACTGCTGGGAAGGCTTCCTATCTCCATCTGGGTCTTCAGCCCTTGCACCCAGCCTAGCAGTTCTCGCAGCATGGCGTGTAACTTCTGTACTTGGTAGGAAGAATCCAGTTTCTCCCTCCTGCCCACAGGGATGATCAGTCAGCCCCAGCCAGAAGTGTAACTAACACAGGGTCACTGGGGTGTTGCCCCAAGGCACTGACATGGGAAAGTGCTTCTTCCTCAGGGTGGTCATGTAGGGGGAGGATGCAGGACCTGTAGGAGGCTAAATCTTGGAGGAAATGGGTCTTCCGTCCCCCCGTCCAATGTCAGCGACCACAAAGAAGAGCACTGTTGCCCAGCCCTGGTTGCTCCCCTGACCAGGACTCTGTAACCATCGCATCCCTTTTTCTGGGTTATGCCTCCTCTTCCCCCACTCCCCAATTCTGGCTTAAATACGTCTGACCAGATCAGATTATCTGTGTACTAAACTTGGGGTGTCCTGGAATCTTTGTTTACTGTCCTCTACCACTCAATTGAAATTGCCCTGGATTATTTCTCCTGAAAATGCCCAGCTCCTCTGTCCTGCTCTTCTCTCTTATCCCTTCTCCCCTGCAATGTCTTCCTCTGACACATGCAGTCACTGCTAAAAATGTCCTTTGGGGCCATAGATCGGGGTAGCAATACAGGGGTCTAGGGGAACTGAATGGGCTGGGGCAGAATTCCCAGGCGTGAATGAGAATGGGAAAATGCTAAGACCATGGTGGGGATGGAGACTCTGAGAAGCTGAAAGGAGAGGAAGGCTGTACAAAGATTTGTACCTCTGCTTGGCCTGGGCCTGCAGCCCCTGCCAGCTGATGTTCAGCTCCCGTTGTTTGTGGATGAGGGTCTGGGCTGCCCCGGGGCTACTCTGACACAAACGACTGACCTTCTGCTCCAGTGGCTGCAGGAAAAGGGATGGCAGAATGGTACCGTAGCCCGGGCTGGGACGCAGGAGATACCCACATATGGAATAAGGCACTAGGGCTAATTTTACATCTGGGTAGTGGGACAAGTGGAAAAAATGCTGGCTTTTGGATAAGGGTACTGTTACTTCCCAATGAGTGGTGGGCCACGCCTGTGGGGCGGGGCAGCTAGGTGGTGCAGTGGATAGAGTGCCAGGCCCAAAGTTAGGAAGACTCATCTTTGTGAGTTCAAATCTGGCTTCAGATACTTACTAGCTATATGACCCTGGACAAGTCACTTAACCCTGTTGGCCTCAGTTTCTCAAAAATGAGCTGGAGAAGGAAATAGCAAACCCCTCCAAGTATCTTTGCCAAAAAAACTACAAATGAGATCATGAAGTGTCTGACACAACTGAAAAATGACTGAACAACAACTGCTGTAGGGCACTCATTCATTCATCAATGTGCATTTATTAAGTGCCTACTATATGCCAGACATTGGGCTAAGTACTGGTGGCATCCTAAGGTCTCCTGAGATTTGTCATCTGCCCAGTATCTGCACCCTTAGGATCTCCAGGTCTTTCCATCTACCGACAGCTGAACTGTCCTATGCCTGTTGTCTTCTGAACCTCTTTTATACTCCCCATCCTGCCTGGAGTGCTACGGAGTGAAGGTAATACAATGGAGCCCATGGCATGCTTCTGACGCAGCCCCATTCGTACCTCCATCTGGGCCTGGATGACACTGATCTCCCGATCCAATTCTTCATGTTTCCTTAGTAGTCTCTCTACATCCCCCAGGTCCTTTCCATAGTCTGGGGCCTGCAGCAGAACACTCTGTGAAGGGAAAGAGAAAGTCAATCAACAAGTATTTATTGAGCATTTACTATGTACCAGGTGGCAGCTAGGTGGCACAGTGAATACAGCCTGGAATCAGGAGGACCCGAGTTCAAATATGGCCTCAGACACTAGCTGCGTAACCCTGGGCAAGTCATTTAAACTTGCTTACCTCAGTTGCCTCATCTGTAAAATGAGCTGGAGAAGGAAATGGCAAACCACTCCAGTATCTTTGTCAAGAAAATCCCAAATGAGGTCATCAAGAGTCGAACACAACTAATTGACTAAACAACAACGACAACAAATGTGCCAGGCACTGTGCTAAGCAATGGGGACACAAAGAAAGGCAAACACATGGTCCCTGTCTTTAAGGAGCTCACATTCTAATGGTGGAGACAACATACAAACACTAAGTACATACAAGACATATACAGTGTAATATGTGTAAGATAATCTGATAGAAGAAGGCACTGGCCACTGAGAGGCCTGGAAAAGGCTAGCTGCAGAAGGTGGGATTTAAGGCAATAGTCAATAGGTATTTATTAAGCACCTACTATGTACCAGTCACTATGCTAAATGCTGATGATACAAAGAAAGGCAATAGACAGTCTCCTTGTCCACAGTCTAATGAGGGAGGCAACCTGCAAGTGATTATGTAGAAATAAGATAATCCGGAGATAATCAAGGGAGGGACGGCTGGCATGAAGAAGGATCTGGATGAGATTTTAGCTGGAAATTCAAGGAAGCCAAGAGGCAGAGATGAGGAGGGAGGGTATTTCAGGCATTCCAGGATGGCCAGTAAAAACACTCAGAGACGAGAGATGGAGTAGATGGAGCATTATGTTGGAGGCCAGTGTCACCGGATCGTAGAGGATGTGGAGGAGGGGAGCGTCTAAGGAGTCTAAAAAGACTGGAAAGGTAGGAAGGATCCAAGTCATAGAGGGCCTTAAAAGTCAGAGGATTTTACATTTGATTCCAGATATAATGGAGGGACAATGGAGTTGATTGAGTAGGAGGGCCACATGATTGGATTTGTGATTTAGGAAAATCACTTTGGCAGCTTAATAAAGGATAGATTGACATGGGGAGAGACTTGAGGGAGAGAGGAACTCAGGATTCGATGTATTAACATTTATTGACCCCTCTCCCCTTTCCTCTGACACCATGGCATCTGCCTCCCAGACCCTTCCCCTGATCCCTTTCCCCAGGCCCTCTGCCTCCCCACTCCCCCTTCTTTCAGAGCCATTGGGCCTCCTGCCAAGGTTCTGAATACCACACTAGATTCTGCCTCTGAGCCTCAGGCTTCCAGTGGTCATTCCCAAGCTGCTCCATTCCAGAGCAGGTTGGCTTGGAGTCAGGAAGCCCAGTCTTGTCTTTGACACATATTGGCCATGTGACCCTGGACAAGTTGGCTCTAGCCAGCTATCTAAGATTATAGATTTCAGGGTGCCAGCCTGCATGGGTAGAGGGAATTTCCTCACCAAAATCTCCTTGTACCCATGAAATCATAGGTCTGGATAAGAAAACAAAATAAAATAAAATACCTTTGTTCCATAGGTAGCCAAGGAAGACACTGGTAGCACAGACCCTGGAGTGATCTAGAAGAGGTGGGGAGCCAAGGATGCTCTCAAGACTGAGTTTGGGGGCAGCTAGGTGGTGCAGTGGAAAGAGCACTGGCCCTGGAGTCAGGAGGACCTGAGTTCAAATCTGGCCTCAGACACATAACACTCACTAGCTGTGTAACTCTGGGCAAGTCACTTAACCCCAATTGCCCTCACCAAAAAAAAAAAAAAAAAAAAGTCGACTGAGTTTGTTACCCTTTCAGGCAGGGCCCTGCCCTCTTCTCCCCATGGTTTTTGCCTGAAATCTACAACTCTGGTCTCTATGTATCCCTTACCTTCTCTCCAATCCTTTCCATGATATTGTCCAACTCCTGGACCAGTGCATGCATCTCCAGGGCACCCTCTAGCTGTCGTTGGTATCGGAGGAGGTTGCCATGGAAATTATTCCATCTGCCAAGGTGAAGATGCAGGAGGATAGGTATTAACGGGGCTAGATTCGGTCTGGGCACAGAACTCCAACACGTCCACCTTCTGAGTTTGCTGCTGTCCTCCCACTCCCACCCTTTCTCCTTCCCGCCATCCCCGCTCAGAACTGGCCTCTCATTGAGTTGACGTCGTCGCTGGTAGGTGATCTTGACTTCTTCTGGATCTCGGCTCTTGAGCTGAAGGGACATGGCATTAATGGCCTTGATGTGGGTATCATCCACCATCTCCTGGTGTAGGGGGAGAATGAAGTTATGGACTCAGGCCCAGAGGAGAAAGCAGAGACCACTCTCTAGGGAGGATCTGTCTTTAAAAGGGTCATATTCGAGGGGCAACAGGAAGGTATAAGAGGCTGCAGGCACTGGATTTCCTCATCCTTTGGGGGATCCTCCAGTCATACAATCTTCTCAGAGTTTAGAAAAAGTGCTATTACTCGGAAAGGAGTGCTAGGTGGGTGGTAGAGGGCAGGGGCAAGAAGAATCACAGAATCAGAGATTTAGAGCTGAAAGGGACTTTTGAGGTCATTATGTTATAGCCGGGGAAAATGAGACCCAGGAGTGACTTTCCAAGATCACTGACCGGTAAGAATTCTTCTCTCTGACTCTTAAAGCCGTCACAACCCGGCCCCCACCTACCTTTCCAATCATGTTTTATATATATTACTCCCCTTCCTGTCCTCTGTGGTCTGGCAAGATTGTCTTTTGAGAGAAATGATTATTTTTCTCTTATATTAATAACCAAATTAGAATTGAAGGGGTTTTTTTTTTCCTTTCTACTTTCCTCATTCAGGTACCAGTCATTTTCTGAAGGACAGAGCTGATGATGAGATTGGCCTAATCTTCTGGGAACATTCTCCTCAATCTTGTGTGAGCCCCACTCAACTAGGAGAGCTGATTTCTGATTAAAGTGCAAAGATAAATTGAATCTAGGTGAATTCCGGCCCTAAAAGCATTAGGATCACACTCTCGAAACCCAGAACTGTTGAATAGAAATGGTCTGGGTAGAGGTGGATTCCTTTGTCCAGAGTGCTGAAGGCAACTCCAAGATTAATTTGAGACAGTGTCTTAAGATCAAGTAGCAAGAGCTAAAGACTTTTAGCCCACCTCCTCATTAATATGTTCACCCTCTCATTGATGGTTCACCAATCTGAGTTGATCTCCGCCTGTCAGGGACATCCTCTTTTCCAAAGGTACGTAAAGTATTCCACGATCTCCATCTTTGTCTTTGGTTACCGAGAGACCACTGACTATCAACTTATTGATTATTTGCTAGCCTAATTAACAGATTGATTATTCTGTCTCTTGGATTTTTCCATTCATCTCACCTTTTTACTGTTTCTTGAACGACACCCTCTTGTCCCTATACCTTTGTGCACTGGTTGTCCCTGTGTCTGGAAGGCACCCCCTTCTCACTTTCCATTTTAGAATCCCTCGTTTCCTTCAAAACTCAGCTCCATAGCCACCCCCGCCCCAGCTACTGGTGCCATCCCCTCTCTCTCTCCAAATTTACCTTGGATTCCCTTGGTATATTCTCATATACATCCATACTGTCCATTCTGATAGAATGGAAGCTCCTTATGGGCAGGCTCTGTTTTGGTTCCATCTTTGAATCCATCCCTAGCATCTGGTACCACGTCTGACACATGAGAGGTGTCTAATAAATGCATGAAGCAGCAGAACTGGGTTTTTAACCCAAGGCCCTCCAACCCCAGAACCTCAGGACCACATTGCTCCGACCACTGGAAAGCTCACATCCTATCTGCAAACACATAAATTAGCCAAACCTATTCCCAGAAGAGCTTGTAATAAAAAAGGATCTTTTTAAAGGCAGCGAGGGGGAGGTAAGATAGCTATGGGGATATAAGAAAGCGCAATTTTGTGACTGACTGGTGTATAAAATGGAGATGGAGTTGAATAAGTAAAAAGCAAGAGAGAGCATGGGAAGAAAAAAGGCTTTCAGAGTTAGCTCAGGCTATCCAGCCCTAGGGATTTCTTCTGATCATAGGGTCAGAAAAACAGATCCAGAGCTGGAAGGGACCTCAAACGCCACTTAATCTCACCCTCTCATTTTACAAATGAAGAAACTGAGGCATAGGTTAGTTAAGTGACTTGTCCAAGGTCACACAGGTAGTGTCAGAGGTGAGATATGAACTCAGGGCCTCCAATTCTCAAGTCCACATTCTTTAACCTCCAGGAATCTGATCAGTTTCCATGTTGGGGATTAAGGTTGGTCTAATTAAGTGGTCCTCTACATCAGAGGTGCTGACCCAGAATCAAATTAAAATACAACTGGGAAATATTTTACAAAATAAAAATACAGAGAATATAGATAATGTTAAAATGTGGCTTTCTAAGTTGATTTGTGCCAAGGTAGGTAAGGTTTAAGTGGCCCCATTTCTATTATTATTTTTTTTTTTTTTTGGAGGCAATCAGGATTAAGTGACTTGCCCAGGGTCACACAGCTAGCAAGTGTCTGAGGCTTGATTTGAAGTGGCCCCATTTCTATTTGAGTTTAATACCACTACTGTACATAGTATGATTACGTGAAGCTTCCATACCAGAAATAACCTTCCTACCCAGCTGTCACAATTCCTGTAATTTTACCATTAGATACTCATTCATTTGCATTAACTATCCCTCTCTTAAATCTTCTTTTAGAATGCAAATATCACAGAATGGGTTAAGTAATAAGTCATTGCTATCTGTTTGGAAATACCTTAATTAGATTAATTTTCTTGACAGCTAGAGAAGGGGGGGGAAGGGGAGGAAGGAGGCAGGGGAAGGGATAAGAGATGTATTGGAAAAAAAAAATGGAGGGAAAGGCCATAGAAAGAAAAGATTGGAAAACTCAGATGATTTTGGTTGGATTCACATTTTCCCCTTGGGTCAGCTACGTTTAGAATGTAGGTGTTTCAGTTTAGGGGAAGAGAGGAGTATGCTTCCAGGTCTAAGATACAGAAGGTGCTATACACAGGTATCTGATCCATAAGTACCTTACACTCCCTACCTACCCGACACCCCTTATAACTCTTGCGCCTCTTACCCATAAGGCAGTGCCTCGGAATTCACCCAGCCGTCTGCTGAGCTGTAGACAATGTTCATAATCTCTGCCCAAGTCTCCAACATTCACCATCACTTCCTGGGAGGAAAAAGGAGGTTATATGCCTGGCACATAGATGATTTTTCATTCATTCATATTTATTCATTAATACTATAAGCTGACCAGTAGGTTGCTGATCTACTTTGGCAGAGGGAATTTCCACAAAGGGAGTTTCCCTGCAATGGCACAATCACAGGTCTAGATCAAATTATATATGAATGTGTGTGTGTGTGTGTGTGTATATACACATACACGCATATATATACATAAATACCTCTATATAGATATTCTTATATAAATATAATATTTATGTATGTATATATAGATATATCTATAGTTATATAAAAATATAATAGTGTTGTATAAAATACAACATACAGATATATAATATATCTGTATATGCATATATCAAAATTGATATACTTACAGATATATAAGTATATAATATAATGCTGATATATAATATATTTTATGTGGGTATGTATATATCTATGGATATATTTATAGATATAAAAGATATCCTATAATAATGATATCATATATGATATACAAATATAGGGTATATTTTTATTTGTCAATATCTATATAGAAATTTATGTAGATATAGAAAATATATAAGGTAGTAACAATGATATAATATAGAATATATTTGTATATGCATGTATCTTTAGGTGTATATATGCATATGTGTGTGTATATACATATATAATACATAGATATATAAGTGTGTCTGAAATCATTCCTACCTTCTCCCTGATCCAGGCTTCTACTTGGTCCACCCGCTGTAGAAACTCTAAGAAATCCCGTTTGTCCTCCAGGCCCCTGCCCCTGGCAACCACGGCCTGTCTCAGCTTGTGCCAGTGATCCAGAAGCCTCTGATGTTTCTCCAGAATCTCTCTGGCCTGAGGATGGCTCTGGGCCAGGAGAGCTTCTCCCTTCTGCAATGAAGGCAGGCACCAGGATATTTCGTCTTCTTGGTCTCTCGTCCCTAAAGTATTGCTTCCCTCAAGTGGGACCCAACTTCCCCTTTCTCTGTCCCAGAGACCACCCCCAACCTTCCTGATAATGCCATTTCCCCTCCCTCTTCCTGACTGGACACTGAGTACCCTCTCCCATCCTCTACCCCCCTGGAGGGAGTCCAGAATTCCCTCTCCCCTCCAACCCCAAGGTCCACTTCCCACCCTTCCCGGTAGCTGCCCTCTCAGGCGCCCCAGAGCTTTCTGTTTATCCTACAAGTGAACTCTCCTAAAGGCAGGGTGTGCTGGAACCAGTTCATATAGGCTCTCAAGAGCCAACTGTTAAATGTGCAGTGTGAGCATTTACACTCCAGAAATCAGCACATGCTCCAAATTAGGGCTCCCTGTTCTTGTTTTGTTGATTGTCTAGACTTTGGAAAATGACAGAAAAATGTCAATAATGCAGATTAAACTTAAAAGGCTGTTGTAGGCACATTTTTCTCTTTAGAGAGTAGGTTGTTAAGCATTAACCATCACAATGCTGCTTAGACAGCTAGGTGGCTCAACAGATGGAGCACTGGGCTTGGAATTGAGAAGACTCATCTTCCTGAGTTCGAATCTGGCCTCAGACACTTACTAGCTGCGTGACCCTGGGCAAGTCATTTAATGCTGTTTGCCTCAGTTTCCTCATCTGTAAAATGAGCTGGAGAAGGAAATGGCAAACCAGTCTAGTATCTTTGCCAAGAAAACCTCAGATGAGGTCATGACATGACTGAAATGACTCAACAACAACAAAAGCGGCTTGAATGTATTGTCTTCACCAATTCGAGTGTGAAGTTCCTTGAGAGCCATTTGCTGTTACCTTGGTGACTTGGGTTATAACCTCCTCATGGGCCTGGACCTCAGCCTCGAAGACCTGGTGTTTCTGTAAGCACTTCAGCTTGTCCTTCAGGTCACCAGAACCCCATGGGCTAGGTTCCTCCAACCGCTGAGCTCTCTCCTGGATCCAGTCCTCTGCCTGGACACACCAGGCGCAGGGTAGGAGTAGGGTTAGTTAACTTAACCTTTATCATTCCCTGGGCCCAGAGCCTAGCTGCACATTCCCAGGTCTGCATGCCACTCCCAGTGAACATTATATGGGACAGCCTATCATTTCCTAGGCTTATACAGATTCTATACAAATCATTCCCTGGATGCAGATCAAGTATATTGGTTGTTGAAATTAGGAGCCTTTCCTAACTCCTGCCCCACCCAGGACCTTCCCCACTCCCTCCCCCTGCCCCTGCACTGCCCTCTTCCCTTTTAATCTTCCATTTACACCATATGTATATATGTGTGCATATATAAATATATATGTATATATATCTTGAATGTATATAGTTATTTTAGGTTGTCTTTCTCATTAGAATATGAGTTCCTTGAGGGCAGGAACAATACTTTTCACTGCTCTTTGTATCCCCAGCTCTTCACACAGCCTAGCACATGTTAAGCACTTTCTAAGGTTTTGTTGAATAACGAATTAGAATTCTGATGTGTGCCCAGGTTGATACCTGTAAGGTTCCAGGGTAGGGCAGTTCCCCTGGTATGTTAAACAGGTATTAGTAGCAAACCAGGCAGAAGTTCCTTAGAGGCTCCGCTAATGCTTGCTGTCATTGAACAAGAGGGTCAGAGGGGAGGTGACACAGAGGGAGCCGCGTAACTCTCAAGGTAAGGTCTTAGGGGTTCTGGAGTTGGCTGGGGGCTCCTTTTGGATGTTCAGAGCCCCCAGCCTTTTGGAGCCTGCTTTGCTCTGTTCAGTTGTCCCATCCATGACTGTCCTGCTGGTCCAGCCCTGGTTCTGACCTCAGCCACGTCCCTGGTGAAACTCGCCAGCAACAGGGTGGTACGCAGGGCTTCCCCGTGGTTATGGGCCTGCTCCTTTACTCGCCTTCGTCGCTCCCGCACCAGATTCAGTAATTCATGCACCCTGGCTCCCTTGAGATGCTTCACCTGCTCCTGTAGGGCTGCCTCCTGTGGGAGGGGAGAAGGTGCTTGCTGCTTGTATCACCCCTCCAGGCTAAGAGTCTTGCTGCACATCCCTAGTTCTGCATGCCACCTCCCCATTCCAAGCTTATTGGGGACAGAAAGCAGACCAGGTAAAATAGCAATGAACCTACCATCAGAGCTCTACCCCTAATCCCTGAAAGGCTGGGGGATACAAAACAGCCTTTCATCCCTTCTAGAGCCGACCCATCCCAAGGTACTTCAGACCAGGAATAATGATGACAATAACAATAATAACAACTACCATTTATATAGCATTTTAAGCTTTACAAGCCACTTTACATATATTATGTCATTTGATAATCACAACAACCCTTTGAGGTAAGTGCTATTATCATCATCCTCATTTTACAGAAAAAGAAACTGAAACTGAGAGAAGTTAAGTGATTTGACCAGGGTTGCAAGGCAGAGAGTTTAAAAGCCTTGCCAAACATCACCCAGTTAGGAAGTGTCTAAGGCAGAATTTGAACTCAGGTCTTCCTGACTCCAGGTCCAGTGCCCTATCCACAATACCAACCACTCACATTTCTATAGCACTCAAAGAAAACACAACATTTTTTTTTACAATACCCTGTGAAGTTAGGTAGTACAGTATTATACTCCCCATTTATAGATGAGGAAACTGAGACTCAGAGAGGTAAAAGTCAGTTTTCCAGGGCCACAGCTAATATTTGTCAAAGCCAGTATTTAAAAATTAATTTCTTCCTGTCTCTGAACCCAGTACTTTTTTTTTTTTTTGTTCAAATATACTATATTGTCCATGCTGGACTGAGCAATCTCTCCAGGGATAGCCAGGAGATAACATGGCATGGTGGACAAAATGTTGTACCTGGATTTTAGATGCCCTGGGTTCAGATCTTGCCGCAGAGACTTCCTAGCTGTGTGATGTTTGTCAGAGCTCTTGAGCTGTCTGTGCCTTAGCTCTCTCACCTATCAAATGAGGATTGACTAAGGAGCTTCAAAGGTACCTGACAAATCTAAAATTATGATCTGGGGATCCCAAATTCATCTCCAGGGTGTTGGAAGAGGCCACTATTCAGCCTCTCTGCATTTACTTTATGTTGGTCCCTCACCTACCCTGTCTACTTGACTCTAACATCTTGACTCATTCCTCCCATTTCTGGACTTCTACGCACTCCTCCATGCCTGACTCCAGACAGAGACTAACCAGAACATCCCCGCTGCCCTCTGATCCCATCACCTTCTCATCCTGGGTGGCCAGAATCTTCTGGAAAGCTTCATGCTTCCGGATCAGCCTCTCCAGGCCCTCCACTGAGCTTTCCAAGGTACTGGTTTTCAGATAGACCTAGACCAACCCATGACGAGGGCCAAAGAGAATGAAGAGCCAACTTGCTTTGAACATAAAGCAGATGGATGAGTGTATGTGTTACTCAACCTCCCACGGCCTCGGTTTCCTTATATGCAAAAGAAGGGGTTGGGCCAGCTGACCTCTGAGGTCTCATAAAGCCCTAAATCTGTGACCTCATGACTCAGTCCAGGCTTCAGCTGGGGAAGGAATCAGAGAGTGTCCACCCTGGCTTTTAGCCACATTGAAGGGTGCAATTTTCTTCTCATTTTCCCACAATACTTTGTTCACCATAATCTATCCCTTTTCATACTTATTTATGTATATATCTTATGCAGACTCCTGGAGGGTTGGGACTATGACATTTTTCATCCGCTTATTTGCTGAATTGGATCAAGTCTGCACACTTTCTGCTTCTAAAACAGGGGTTCGGGTGAAAAAGACTAAAAATGAGTGTGTGTGCATGTGCATGTGAGTGTGTGTGTGTACATGAGTATGTATGTGAGGAAAGGGAGGGAGGGGGAATTGATAGGGGAAAAGACAATGGAGAACACAGGGAACTACCTCTTGGGCAGTGAGGATCTTCGTGAAGTGGTCACAGTCTCTGCTGAAGAGCTGTCCAAGGTGCACGGTCATCAGCTGCTCCTGCTTCCCTTCCCAAGCCTGGAACACCTTCAGCCGCTCTTCCCGGAGGGCTCCTAGCCTCTCCTGGATCTGGAGCACACAGAGGTGGGGTAGTCTGAGAAAGGTGATGTTGGGGGTGGGTGGGCAGAATCACTAGTGAAGACTAGGAACAGGAGCCTCAGACTGGGAGGTGGGCAGTCAGGGTTCAAGGGCTGGTTCTGCTATCGATGGTATGATCTTGGCCAAGTTACTTGACTTCTCAAGGCCTCAGTTTCCTCATCTGCAGAAGGAGGCTAGACTAGAGAATCTATAACACAGGATTAATTAACCTTTTCTGTGTCGTGGACCTCTTTTGGGTAGGCTGGTGAAGCTTATGGATCTTTTCTCAGAATGATGTTTTTAAATGCATAAAATAAAATACTTAAGATTACAAAAGAAACCAATTATATGGAAATAAAAGTAGCAGAATATATATGTGCATACATGCATGTGTTAATATACATATGTATATATAACATGTGTATGATTCTATATACAACACATGCATGTATACTATGTATATACAATGTATGTGCATCTGTTGATGTGTACATTGTACACACACATGCAGTCATCCCTTCCACATCATGACTTTTCCCACCACGGGTTTTGATATATATCGTAGATCAGCGTAAGAAATTAAATGGGAATTTTTTGGGAGTTTTGCAGAAGCTGTTGATGACACGAGAAGGCCAGCAGATGACATAGAACCTATGACCAAATACTTAATTTTACAATATACCAAATTTTACAATAAGGTACTGTAAATACCCCATAAAAAAAAGAAAAAAAATTCAAACTTCTTCTCTGGTATGAAGGGAGGGCCAAAATATTTTATGGGGATTTTTCCAGATTGCAGGGGCACTGTGCCCCTATTCCCCCTCCCCCATGATGTGGAAGGGATAACTGTATATGTATATATCTGTTGAGTATATACATGTACGTGCATTCAACAGATCTCAGGTTAAGAAGGCCTCTTTCCAACTCTAGTGTGTGATGATTCTTGTTTTTGTTTTGTTTTGTTTCTTTGGCTAGGCAATGGGGTTAAGTGACTTGACCAGGGTCACACAGCTAGTAAGAATTACGTATTTGAGACTGGATTTGAACTCAGGTTCTCCTGAATCCAGGGCTGGTGCTCTACACACTGCACCACCTAGCTGCCCCTTTGATGATCCTTGAGACTCAATGTGTAACCCCTGCCTTATCTCCACCTTCAAATCTCTCTTGTTTCTTCCCCTCTCCCCTCCTGCAGTACAATACAATGGAAATGATACCATTCTGGAGTCAGAGGGCCTGGGTTCAAATCCCATATCTCTCATTAACTACCTTGTTACCCTGGACAAGGTAATTAAGCTCCCTGGACCCCAATTTCCTCATCTATAAAATATGAGGAGATTCAGGCCAGCTGCCCCCACCCAGCTTTAGCTCTTATATGTATCAGGGCAAACCCCTTCTGTGTTCCTAGGTCTCGACCAGGATGTCATCAGAGTAGTGGAGGGCAAGAATAAGATGATAATAAGATAATAAGGCAAGAAAGGGGTGAATGGGGCAGGGAAGAGAACACATCCACACCGAGGCCTTGGGGAGACCTGGAGTGAAAAGCTACCTCTTCAGTAGGGGCTCCCTCCTCCAGGAGCAGCCCCTGGCCCAGCTGTACCGCCTGCTGGTACACCTCCTCCCGGGCCTCCAGCTTGGCCCGGACGTCTTGGTGCTCACTAAGCTGCAAGTGGCTGCTGCTGGCATCCCGGGAGGTCTCCTTTGCCTGCAGCTCCCTCTGAACTCCAGTCGCCCAGGATGAATACTGTTGTACCTGGGCCCCCCAGAGAGAACAGAGAGGGAGTCAGGTATGAGCAGGAATGCAGAGAACCAGTTCTCACACAAGCAGAACTCTGGAGTGCTACCCCGGAGAACCTACCAAGGTACATGTATGTACAGATGTCAGAGCTAGTTTGGAGGCTCCCATACCTGAATCCCAGACCTTAGGAATCATTCCATCCAACCACCTTCTCTTACAAATGTGGAAACTGAGGCCCAGAGAGGTTAAGTTACTTGCCCAAGGTCATACAGATAGGGAGCAGAGTCTGGATTTGAACTCAGGTCCTGTGACTTCAAGTACAGCATTCTTTCCACTGTACCATGCTGCCTCACATCACTCCTTTCAGATACCAACTGGTTCAGATGCCCCCTGGTTCTCCAGATGTGGGCAGCTCAGAGCCTGTGGTGTGAGGCTGAGGGGGCTCTCCAGAACCTGGCCTTCCTGTCTATAGTCAGCCTTATTATCTGCTACTTTCCAGCATTAAATTCTCACTGTTCTCCAGCCAGCTCACTTTCATCACCGTCCCTCAAACAAGGTGTGCTTATTACCTCCTCGTCTTTTCCTGTGCTTTCTTCCCCCCTCTTTGAACATCCTCTCCTTTCTCTTCTACCTGCCTGAATCTTACTCTTCCTTCATGACTCCACTTAAGTCCTGCTTCCTGCCTGAAGCCTTCCCTGACTACTCATGGAAGCCTTCTCTGCTTCTCTTCTCTGAACTCCACAGTACTCATAGTCTGTACCCCCCAACTAAGAATGTATTGTCTGACAATATTAGCTATTGTTTCAAGTATGTTATTCCTACCTTCTTGAGGGCAGGGACCATGTCTTACCACTGGGTGCATCTATCGCTGCACCCAGTCTAGTGCCAAACATGGTAAGAACTTAATGACTGGGTCACATCTGTAGGACATAAGAGGACAGTAACTTGTCCACCACTTTTGGGTCCCTTGGGCTGTACTTAGCCTCGACACCAGCTGGCTCCCTAGATGAGCTCCTCTTAGCTTACCTTCTCACAGATCTTGCTTTCCGTATTGTACTTACTTGTCTGGCTGTCCATAAGTATTCTAAGACTGGCCCTGTATACATCTCACATCTACATTCCCTTTTGTGCTCTGTATACAATACCCTCAGTTCCATTTGAAAAATAGTATGGTGTCATAGACAGAGAGTCAGCCTCAGAATTGAGAAGACCTGGATTTAAGTCCTGCTTCTGACACATACTGGCCGTAGGACCCTGGGCAAGTCCCTTACTTCTCAGTGCCCCAGGAACCTCTCCAAGGTGCTATGTTGTCGATCAGCACTGGAAGAGGGAGCGTCTTCACCTGGAGTTCCTATATCAATTAAATCATAGGTCTGGTCCAAAACAAGTATCTACCAGGGGTGGGGAACCTGCAGCCTCGAGGCCACATGTGGCCCTCTAGGTCCCCAAGAGTGGCCCTTTGACTGAATCAAACTTCACAGAACAAATCAGGGATTTTGGGATTTGTTCTGTGAAGTTTGGATTCAATCAATTGAGGACCTTGAGGGCCACATGTGGCCTTGAGGTCTCAGGTTTCCTACCCCAATAGGTACTGGGACTGCAAAGTTAAAATACAAAATAGCCCCTGCCCTCAAGGAGCTTACACTCTGTACTCCATCCCTCCAAGTCCAAACCGGGTCTAGTCCAAAACAAGTACGTAAGGTGCAAGGTGCTGGGGATGCAAAGTTAAAAAAAAAAATTGCCCCTGCCCTCAATGAGCTTACATTCCATACCCCACCCCTCCAAGTCCCAATGTATTTTCTTCCAAGGCACTCTAGGGGTTTCTCACCACAGTATGGAAGGCTGCGAGCAAGGAGGCCCGCTCCAGCTCTCCCCTACGCCTTTCCACCAGCAGCCTCAGTGACTCCCAGCTCTGCACCACAGCTTCCTGCTGGCTCTGCAGGGCCTCTGCCCGAGCTCCTGAGCACAGCTTCTGCGTCTCATCAGCTGCATCCAATAGCTCCTGCAGCTGAGGAAGGGCAGGGGTCAGGCAAGCAGGGAAGGGGTCAGCTCTCTGGAGAAGTAGGAGGCTGGGGGCCCAGCGGGCACATGGAAGCAAAGGGGACCCAGTCCCCCTAGAGACACCCCTCCTAGCCCACTCACCTCAGGTCACCAACTTTAGGGAGAAAAAAAACTTCCCTGAAAGGAAAAAGAAGCAGCAGCCATGCCCTATCCAAGGGAAGAAAGAACCCATTGCTGCACCTAGGGGGTGCATGAGATCATAGCTATAGAAAGGGAAAAGATCAGTCCTCGAATTCATCTCCAGACCACACTCCTGGCTCTCTGAGACTTTCTTCTTTTTCTTTTCTTTTCTTTTTTATTATTATTATTTTTTTTTCTGGTGAGTCAATTGGGGTTAAGTGACTTGCCCAGAGTCACACAGCTAGTGCAATGTGTCTAAGGCCGGATTTGAACTCAGGTCCTCCTGACTCCAGGGCCGAGACTTTTTTCTATAATGCCCCAGAGGCCTCTTTACCCTGGTCCCTCCACTCCTGGACTTCACACATTGGAACTACCTTTGCTTCTGCAGTTAGAACCCTCTGATTGGCTGGTTCCTTCCAGAACCTCCATTTTCAGGAGAATGCCCAGTCCTGTTTTTATGCCTCTCCAGGCTATACTAGTGACTTTCTCTACAATGACCCCTTTCAAGCTACTTTCATCTCTTTTACTTTCTTCCCTCCTCTCCTCTCCCTTCCCCTTTCCAGCTTTCTAAGCAACTCGAGGTGAGAAAGAAAAGTCATTCTTTCTGCTTGTATCTGTATTCCCAGTACATAACATAGTGCCTGGCACACAGTAAGTGCTTAATAAATGCTTGCTGACTTGACCTGCTTTGACATAAGCATAGCTCAGTGTACAACCCCACCCAGGTCCACATTCACACTTACCAGAACTACTCTAGGGAATCCCCCAAATTCACAGAATCATAGATCTAGTTAGTGCTGGAACCTTAGAAGTTGATCTAGTCCAACCATACCATCTCGTTTTGACAGGGAAACTGAGGTTCAGGGAGGTAAAGTGATTTGCCCAGGGTCACACAGCTAGAAAGTGGCAGAGGTGGGATCTGAACCCTGTGTTTCCTAGCTCTGGGTCCAACATTTGATCCACCACGTCATGCTGCCTCTCTAAGTTCTGAGGGCGTCTGGGGAATTGGAAGGCCCAGAAGGGGCCGGTGTTCTTGGGCATAGGCCTGAGGGGTGCTATGCAGAAGCAACAGCAGCAGCTGACTTACTTGCTGCTCAGTGCCCGAGAGCTCATGTTCCAGCTCCTCATGCCGCCGGAGCTGAGCCTGGGCCCCATGCCTATCCCATGCCACGGCATCAGGTAGACTTGTGGCTTTCTCCTGGGAAGAAAGAATTGTCTTAGTAATTATAACAAACATTTCTATAGTTCTTTAGTGTTTGCAAGGCGCTTTACACATATGAGCTCATTTGATCCTAACAATAACCCTGGGAGGTACGTGTTATTATGCCCATTTTACAGATGAGGAAACTGAGGCAGAGAGAAATTAAATGACTTGCCCAGGGTTATACAGCTAGCAAAGGAGGTAAGATTTGAATTTAGGCGTTCTTGACTCTATTGCCACCTGTGTTAGGTGCCACCTGTCTTAGGGAAGAGGTACAAAGAGTGGGGGCAGGGAGGAGAAGGGCCTCTACTCCAAGAAGAAACCCCTCCTCGGATCATACCTGTACGTGGGCGAGGGCATCGGTGAGGTCCTGGTGAATCTTGAGCACTGTCTCTGCATCCCTGAGTGACTGGCCCCGTGCCTGGGTCAGCCCCCACAGCTCTGCCCAGGCGCTCCTGTCATGGGGACACAAGGATTGGGTAACCATCCTCATGACTCACTGATCCCCACCTTGGACCCTAGTCTAATCCAGCTTGCCTTCCTTCTGAGCCTCATCAAAACTTGCCCCAAACCCTTACGCTGGTCCTGGAGTCGGGACGCCTGATTTCGAATCCTAGCTAGGCGACCTTAGCCTCAGTTTGCTCATCTGTAAAACGAAGGGCAGCTACGTGGTGCAGCAGACAGAGTGCTGAGCCTGGAATCAGGAAGATCCGAGTTCAAATCTAGCCTCAGACCCTTACTAGCTGTGTGACCCTGGGCAAGTCACTTAACCCCATTTGCCTTAATTTCCTCATCTGCAAAATGAGCCAGAGAAAGAAAGGGCAAACAGCTCCAGGTCCCTCCCAGCCCTGGATTTTCCATCATCACCGCTCCTCATCCCACTGCCCTCCTCTCCTCTCTTCTCCTCTGTTCCAAGCCTTCCACGATGGCAACTGTCTCTTGAGTTCAGAGGAGCATTCATTTAGAGCCAAAAGGAAACGTAGACATCATCTGGTCCAAACCTGTCATTTCGCAGATGAGGAAGCTGAAGCCCAGAGAGGTTAAGTGATTTGCCCGTGGTCACGCAGAATTTGAACTCGGGTTACAGGACTCCAAATCAAGCACCCTTCGCACTGTCTCATAACACTCGACAGCCGCTTGCTATGAAAGTATTCCTATGGTTGCCCTGAATACGCTTTATCAGATCTTTTTTTATATGTGTTTTTCACAGTCTGCCAATTAGATCGTCAACTTCTATTTTGAAAATCAGATCGTAGCTCTGAAGCTGGAAGGCACCCCAGAGGCCATGCCATCTAGTCCAAGCACGCCGTTTTACAGGTAAGAAAACCGAGGCCCAGGATGCCTAGCCATCTCTACCCAGCTAGCAATCATCAGAGGCATGATCTGAACCCGGCTCCCCCGATTCCAGCGTCACTTTCCACTACACCGATTTCTTGGATCGCTTTCATTGCCTCTAGCATAGTGTTACGTGCACTGGAGAAGGAAATGGCAAACCGCCTCAGCATCATTGTCATAGGGGGGTTACGCGAAGTAGGAGATGTCTGAAATCTGGACGGCATAGCAAAGTGTGTGTGCAGAGTCAAGCAGACCCGCTTTCTTTCTCCAGACCGCGTCTCTGAATCCTGAGGCTCCTAAGCTCCCCGCCGCACTAGCCGTAACACCGTCCCCGTGGGTGACAGCCCTCAGCTCAGGTGGGACAGCCTCACGGTGCCTCTCTTCTCCCCAGCCCATTGGGCAGCCAGTGGTGACGGCTGGCGCTAGGAGCGTTGCCAACGCTCTGGGCCCACTCTCTCACCAGCTGTAAGGACTGCCCCGGCCCAGTGCCTGCGGATCTGCCTGTTTCTCCGCCCCGGCCAGCTGGCTACTCACTGTAGTTCCTGCTGCCTCTGGCGGATCTCTGGGGTGGCACCGTGCCGGCCCTCCAGCAGGGTCTCTGCTAGCTGTTGGCAGGATGCCACTTGCCTTCCACCTGTCTCTACCCGGTGCTGAAACAGCTCATACTTGGCCCGGAGGTGCTGAGGTGGGAAGGACAGGTGGAGAGAGAAGGTTACCTTCCGTTCATGGGGTCAGCGATTTAGAGCTGGGAGGCATCTTAAAGGACACTAAGTCTAACCCCTTCATTTTACAAATGAGGAAATAGACCATGCTATTTGTGCATACCACTGTGCCACACTGTCCTCCTTAAATGCATCCTCAGGCCCCAGGTTGGGAAGTCGGCATAGCCCATACAGCCTCTCAGCATCCTTAGACGAGTACACTTAAGTGGGAGGCCACGGTGCCAGAGGGTAGGAAACCAAAGACTAGAGAGCAGGGGGCCTCCCCGTTCCATGTGGGGTTGGGAAGTCTAGCCAAGGGATGGGGCTCCCGCAAAGCTGGCTGATTTCCTATCTTTTCTCTGCCCTGATTACTGGGCTCCAGCCTCTCCATAAAGGACACGGCCAGTCTTTCTCCACAAAGAGCTGGGGACCACCAGCCTTCCGGGGCATCCCTGCTCTCACACTCTCCAAGGCGTTTCCCTTCCCCTGTTACCACCTGACCTTGGGCACTCCCCTTCTCCTCACCAGCACATGTGTGTAGTCTTCTCCTGGCTCTTCCTCACCACTGGCCACCTGCTTCTGCCTGGCCAGCCAGCCCTGTAGCTCCTCAGCCTCCTGGATGAACTCATGCAGCCTCAGCTCCTCCTCCAGTCGACGACCTCTGTGGTCACAACCCCCCGCCCCATCAGAGGTCAGCCCCATAGTGGCCAACCGGTCTTAGCCAGGGAGGGTGATGGGATAGACTCCACTTGTCTCATTCATAACTACATGGCTGGATGAGATATGGGCACATAAAAGGAGCTTATGTGCGCGCATGTGTGTGTGTGTGTGTGTGTGTGTGTGTGTATGAGTGCAGATGAATTGTATATCATAGCATAATAGATTTAGCAACAATAATAACAATAGCTAGTATTTATATAATTATTTAGGGGGAGGAGGCAATTGGGGTTAAGTGTCTTAAGAGCCCAGGGTCACACAGCTAGTAAGCATCTGCAGCCAGATTTGAATTCAGGTCCTTTTGACTCCAGGGTTAGTGTGTGTGTGTGTGTGTGTGTGTGTGTGTGT